CATACTCGCCAATCTCCTTAAATCCCTCAATAGAATTAGTCATTGCCTTCTCTGCTTCCGCATATTTCTTGATGTCATTAAGATATTGACCAATTTCATTCCATACCAACGCTTTCTTTTTGCTAAGGGATTGTAAGTCCTTGCCGTCGCTTGGAAATAATGCTCTTTGAGTTTGTTGGTAACACTCTAATGCAGCCAACAGGTGGCTTTCTGGATCATCCTTCCTAGACGTGGTGAGAAATTTAAATATTCCACCGCTACCAGGTTTACCTTTGCCCCAGCTCTTCTTGCTCTGAGCCACACAAGTGCAATTTACTAACAAACATAAGTTACATTTTTTACTGTGTGCCGTTAACTTCTTTTTGAGCTTCTCCACTTCTTCTACAATCTCAGACGGCATTTCTTCTTTCTTCGCTACTTCAGACCCCTCAGGTAGAGGACTTTGATGAGCTTGTTTTCAAACAAGCTCACATGAATCTCACCAACAATTAACCATACCGTAGCCCAAAAGATACGTACTGATGAAACTTCCCTGAAACTTGTAAATTCTTGAGTTGTTGAAAGGACTGGCTCGTTCACCAACTCCCCTTGCGTTGTTGAAAGTTCACCAACTCCCCAAACTTTATAAGCCGTGAAAAAGAAGTGTACAAGGCAGATGCAAACAATCTCTCCTCAAACTTGTAAGGCATTGATCCAAAAATGGAGCAAGCTAGCTCCACAATATTCAGAGCTTGGGGCAACTGTCCATCCTCTTTGTAAGCTTCCCCCAGAGAAAGATATGATTCACCAAGAAGCATAACGAGACTCCACAATTTCCTGTCTAGTGATGATGTTGGAAGCCACTCAACTTCCTCTTCTGAAGAAATTAGTTGTTGCGTCCCCATGAGAGACTTAATAGCCTGAATAACATGGTGAACAGCTGCTCGTTGCAATGAAACTGAAATGGCTGTAGTCAAAGGCGCATGATCAGGACCAATGTCGAGACTAGAACCTGAAACTGAGTTCATAACACGATCAAGTGATTCCTCCTCTAAGTCTGCTACTTTGAATTTACGTTGCACATTATTAGCCTCAGCAGTTAAATCAAACTCCTCTTCATTATTCAAAATGTACCTTGCAAATTGCTCGTGTGCACATGCTCGAACAACCTATCCAGAATGATATCACTAATTAAAATTAGTAAACATAACGATTTAAAGCAGCTTTTTATTAGTATTAAAAAGGGAAACTCATCTAGAAAAGACCAATATAATTACCAGTGGGAATGAGCTTGCGCTTGAGGAATGGTTCTTTGAAAAAGTGGAAAGATCAAAGAGTTGAATCACATCTTCACCAGCGGCTTTGTAGAGCTGAGGAGAACATAACAAAATCAACAGTCAACTTTTGTGATAATGCCAACAAAAGATAGTAATAGTTTGGCATAGAATTATAACGCTACCCAGTAAACACTAGGATCCTCTTTGCAATTTGATTGAAGAAACCGTAGAACTGCAAGGCAGTTTTGCTGAACAACATTAGGGTCAACTTCCCCAGAGATTCCATCTGGTAGAAGCTCATACCCTTGGACAACACCGTTCAAATGGTTGCAAATTGCTAGCTCGGGTACACTGGCCATTACATTATCAAGCCAAGCTTTAAGCCACGATAACGTTGAAACCTGTGTCAAAAGACAAGACTTAACAGAGAGTCACTGAAAAGAAGCAGAACCACTTAGGGTTTAGAAGTAACCTGTTGGCTAACGGGTGACAAGCCTAAGCTTGCCTCAGCGTAGTTCTGAAAGCTAACGCCCAATACATTCTTACGTTTCCCAATGAGTTTCTCACTCTCTTCAACACCAGGCCTGCCAGGATAATCAGTAATTAGTATAAACTAAACTATTCTCATTGAAAAATTTGCATAACCTTGAGTAATACGCACCCGGGATTTAAGACAATAGTATGTCCAGCTCGCTGAACTGCTATTGAGACCCGAGATTTCGAGTGAGGTGTCTTCAAGATTTGCTGAAGAATTTTAATAGGTGCAATCACATCAATCTTAGAAAGAGATTCCTCTGTCAAGTCACCTTTACCAAATTAGTAATACAGAGAAAAACCTTAAAACTCCAGTAAACCCAGATGCTTGAGGAGAATCAAGACATACCTGCTCGCTCCCTGTTCTCGCCGCCGACCGGAGCGGCGATCTTCATCTGTCCGACGCAGGTAGGTCGCATCGTTCTTCCTTCTTTGTTCTTTGTACTAAACCAAATGAATGTTCTCTTTATATGAACTGACTGCGCGAATTTTTTGGCTGCGATATTTGGGCCCTAATACAAAATTATGGGCTTTTAAGATTTTGCGGTGATCTATATAGTTATAACTTGCGCCCGGGTGTATTTACGAATTAATTAAAGTATTGATAATTTGTACCGTTAAGAGTCCATGTAAATCACGTAATTGTTAGTAGAGAAATTTGAATTTACTAATGTATGTTAAATTAATTGATAATCCGTGTTGTGTGCAGAATTAATTAATTTTTAAATATCACTAAAATAGGTTTTTTCTTTCTTTATTTTCAAAAATACAGAAATGTTTTTTTTTAATCAAAACTAATCACTAAACCATACATCTAAAAACTATACCGTAACTAAATATTAACCATCCAAAACTAAAATAATAAATTTTGCACTTTCAAAAATTATTATTTGGATTTCAAGGCGGTTCTATTAAAGGGCCTTCATCTATATGGTTTTTTGTTTTCCTTAGTTAGGTCAAGCCCACAAGACCTTTTTTTTGTTAACATACTATTATTGGGCCTCAGCTAAGGTATCTTCTATCGCGTTATATCCTTGAACCGGTTAAGGGATTGAACGAAAGGAATGTGTGGTCCAATTCTCCAAAGTCCGAACGGTTACAAAACATCATCCATACGGGTAACTGCTGAAATATGAGTCGGCCGATACAAGCGCGTAAAAGCAATGAAAAGGGGAACACTATCCGACAATTCTATCTCTATTAGCTAGCAAACTATAATGATTACTCAAACCAGAAGATTGAACAATACAAAGACAGGTCTACCGACATCTATTTATGTAGTGCATATAACATAAAATGTTCGCTTACTTGATATCAAAAGAAAGAATACTTAGGTAAAAGCTAATTAATATACATGATTTATAAGGCCTAAAAGTAAACATGAAAAGATGCTACTTTAAAGTGGGGGTGGGGCAGGTTCTCAACATAGGAAATTTGGCACCCTCCTCTGCTACTGCTATACGTTCACGGCTCACATTGGCTTCTTGATTAACTTTATTAATTGGTTCAGTTTAATCAACTTTAATTGCATGTACTGTTTCTTGAGTGTTAGAATCAATCTAATGTTAATATTTAGTATTGGCAAATTAACTGAAGGAAAAACAAAACATACAAGAAAGACATTCTAAAGCCGCAAACTCTCTAGCTAATAAGTATAACATTTGGGAGAAGAATGAAAGCTAGCTTTACAACCAAAAAAAAAAAAAAAAAAAAGAATGAAAGCTAGCTGAAATCCATATTCGAGTTACATACAAACCACGAGAATATTGCATGCATTATTGGACTTGGTTTATATATATAAAAACAAAACCGCGTTCCTTGTAATACACACTTCTCCAAAAGCAAAAAAAAAAAAAAAAAATTTCTATTTGCATTTTATTACTCTATATCTCGTCTGTCAAGTGTCAATATGTTCCAAACAACAAACAAACCTTGCATATTGATAATTCTATATTGACGTCTCTCTTTTTAAAGCTTACGTATGTGAAAACTACTTTTTGCCCGTGATCCAACAGAAAATGACGAATGCCTTCTATTTTTTTTATAAAGATTTTCCACAAATAGTTTCACATACGTAATAACACAACAAAAATCGCATTTTTTATAAACCTCTTTTTACGTGCCAGCTTTTTAGTATTTACAAGAATCATCCCCCAACAAATTTAAACACTTCTTGAAATAAATAAATAAATAAATAAAGGAAGACGCACTCAATTTTGTTAAAAAGTTAAAGATTCTAAAACAGAGCCACCCAAAGTCCAATGGTAGTCTTACAACAATCTTCTTTGCCACCTTTTTTCTCCAACTTTTAGCTTTTTTACTCTCTCTCAAAGCCACGAATCACTAGTGTTAGACGGTGGTGATATGGCTACTTCCGATCAAGATCGCCGCCACAGAGCCACTCGCAACCGTCCACCACTACCTCGACCGTCTAATCCTTCTTCTCGCCCCGTTGCAGTACCTCCCCGATCGAAAGTTTCCAAGCGTGTGCTTCTCCGTGTTGCTTCCGTCGCATGCGGTATTCAATTCGGATGGGCGCTTCAGCTTTCGTTGCTCACGCCTTACGTTCAGGAGCTAGGGATCCCACACGCTTGGGCTAGTGTGATTTGGCTCTGCGGCCCTCTCTCTGGTTTGTTCGTGCAACCGCTTGTTGGGCATAGTAGCGATAGGTGTACCAGCAAGTACGGTCGCCGGAGACCTTTTATTGTCGCCGGAGCTGCCGCGATTGCCGTCTCTGTTTTGATTATTGGTCATGCCGCGGATATTGGATGGGCATTTGGTGATACGGAAGGGAAGATTAGGCCCAGAGCTATTGTGGCTTTTGTTTTAGGGTTTTGGATCCTTGATGTTGCTAATAACATGACTCAAGGTCCCTGTAGAGCTCTCCTCGCCGATCTTACTGGTAATTTTTCTTACTTGTGAGTTGATTGGGGTCTTCAATTTTTCGTATTTGAATCTCGTGAATTTGGGGATTCTCGTGTCGTGTATATTACACTCACATGCAAAACATGAAAGTGCACGAATTTGTGATTTTAGACACAGTTAGGTGTTTTATAATTTACCTAATTGGTCTTCAAACAGTCAAAGGTCCCTTCTTTGTTCTGGTCGGTGGCTTATCGTTTTGAGTCACATAAACTTTGTTTTTTTTTTTTCCACTTCTTGTGAATTGAATTCTAGACTTATTGTACGGACTCTGTTTTCCCTCAAGTTTAGAACTTTTAGCTTAGGAAGACCATAGTTTGATGAAGTGGTCCGGAGATATTAGAAATGAGAGATGAATAGGGGTGTTTGGATTTGGACACGTTTGGTGAGTTTCTGTAAATTTTAGTGAAGTTAATCTTAAATTAGGTACCTCACTTTGTCAGACAGACCTACAGTGAATAGATTTACTACTCGGATCTCTGCATATTTGAGCTTTTGGGGTGGTTGAATTAAGAAGTTGCTTAATACTACAAGACATCTGGGTGTCTCTTATTAGTTTCTCCAGAGTTTTCAATTTAAAGTTTCTGATTAGATAGCTCTGCAAGAATGTATGCCAGTAGTAGAAAGCTGTTTACAGGGTAATTTCTTTGTTTGAGATTTTGCATGTACTAAAGACTTGCCATAAAACAATCCAATCTTGTTTTGGCAACCTTGCTTGTGGAAACACGATTATTTTGGTGATTGCTTTGATAAGTATCTGCTATCATCATGGTTTGAAAGAAACCCTCTGTTGTGGGTTAACTCTTGTCCAATCTTTTCTTTTCAGAAAATGATAATCGCAGAACCCGAGTAGCAAATGGCTACTTCTCTCTCTTTATGGCTATTGGCAACATTCTTGGCTATGCTACTGGATCATATAATGGTTGGTACAAGATCTTCACTTTCACAAAAACTGTTGCATGCAATGTGGAATGTGCCAATCTCAAGTCTGCCTTCTACATAGATGTCGTCTTTATTGCAATTACGACGATCCTAAGTGTCTCAGCGGCTCATGAGGTGCCTCTCGCTTCATTGACTTCTGAAACACATGGGCAAACCAGTGGAACAGACGAAGCTTTTCTTTCTGAAATATTTGGAACTTTCAGATATTTTCCAGGAAATGTTTGGATTATCCTGCTTGTTACAGCTTTGACATGGATTGGTTGGTTTCCATTTATTCTGTTTGATACTGATTGGATGGGTCGAGAGATCTATGGTGGCGAACCGAACATAGGTACTTCTTATAGTGCTGGAGTCAGTATGGGTGCACTAGGTTTGATGTTGAATTCTGTTTTTCTTGGAATCACTTCGGTGCTCATGGAGAAGCTCTGCAGAAAGTGGGGCGCTGGTTTTGTTTGGGGAATATCAAATATCTTAATGGCTGTTTGCTTTCTTGGAATGATTATCACCTCATTTGTTGCATCACACATTGGCTACATTGGCCATGAACAACCACCAGCCAGCGTTGTATTTGCTGCTGTATTAATCTTTACAATTCTGGGCATTCCATTGGCAGTAAGTATTCCTGCAATTCTACTTTTATGTTACATACAGTGCCAAACAATGAATTTATAGTTTGAGGCTAATCTTATATTGCCAAGCTGGAGATATTATGACACTATTACTTTGATATATTTCCTGCTCATCTCTAACCACATGGTGGAATTTGTTTATGCTTGTGCTGTAACTAATGGCATTTTTACTGTTCTGCAGATAACTTATAGTGTCCCATATGCATTGATTTCCATACGTATTGAATCCTTGGGGCTCGGTCAAGGTGTGCATCCTTTTAATATTATGCTCACTGCTTTTACTTAACAAAATGAGTGGTGTTTCTTATGAAATTTCTATTGTTGCAGGTTTATCTTTAGGGGTGCTTAATTTGGCTATAGTTATCCCGCAGGTAAGCTTAATTCAACCATCCTTTTTTGCATTATAAGATGCCGCAAGTCAGTTTCTGTTCTTGTTTATATGTGTCTTTCTTTTTTTTGCCAAATTGTAAAAATCATTAAAAATGAAGCAGTTTGGTTTTACAAAATGTTAAACCACTATGATGGTTCCTTGGCAAAAATTAGAGTTTATATGTGTCTTTCAATCATCAAAAAATCCTACAAAGGGAGTCCACAATCATAAGTGAAAGCAGCAGGGTGGCTTCGTTAGTAATTAATTCATTTGTTTTAGTTATGGCCAGTTATGTGAAAGGACACTTTTACTTTCTCTATATTTGTCAATTGTTGCATTCCATCCCTATGTTTGTTAAGGTTTTTGGCATCAAACTCAATTTATGTTGTTCAATCATTATGTGTTTGCAGGTAATAGTGTCTGTTGGCAGTGGCCCATGGGATCAACTGTTTGGAGGTGGGAATTCACCAGCACTTGCAGTAGGAGCAGCTGCAGGTTTCATTGGCGGAATTGTAGCCATCTTAGCTCTTCCGCGAACAAGGATTCAGAAGCCCATCCCTCTCCCATAACATCCTATCTTTTGGTATAAGGTAATAATATCACTATTCTTATACAAGAGAGTAAGCACTTAGGTTGTCACTTACTAATAAAAGTGGTAGTTGCAAAATAGATGAGTGTTGAAAGACGAACGCATAAGGGGGAGTACTGGAAAATGGCAGGGAGATGGACCACTTACTGTGATCCTTGTCGAATTCATGAAATGACTTCTCGTGTGACTAACTTATTTGCAGCTGCTAGGACCTAATCCTCTCTACTTTGGGATTAGTGATCCTTGTGGCCACGAGAAGCCATAGAAGTTTTACCAATGAAATAATAACACATGATGATTTAGTTTGTGAGATATATATGCATCTCTCCTTTACTTGGAAGTTCCAACTCGGGATCTTGTCTGTTTCTTTGTTGTAAATTATATGTAAAAACCTGTGTGCAACGGAGAGTTTGTAACGGCCCATGAATTTGAGGGTTCTGTAACTGTTATAAAGTTCATTTTTTTTCTTTAAATACTATATGATAAAGAAACCTGAGATCCAAAAACTTTGCATACTGCAAAAGTAGAAAGGAACCAGTACTTGCTTAGCTGAGTAGGTTCGTTGTTTTCTTGATTGGGAATATCTTAGCTCTCATAAGTCTGGCAGAGGCATGCTGCAACTGGTGAGCGGCTCCGGTGAACTATATATTTCCATTGGTGTCACCTCCAGCTGGTAATGAGAATCAATACACATGCATGCATCAGAATAATATGGCAAACTACCATCGAAGAGGAAAACATTTGGAAGATGGTGGAGTAGGATGATTCTTGGGAATATTAGGCCCAATTAAAAAGAGCTGGCAAATAAATACAAAGTTCGTGAACTGTGGTGGTCGAGGAAACAGAAAGTTTGAAAAAGTTACTCATAATTGTTGACAATTATGTCACAAACACTTGTGAGAGTGTAATGCCAAAATATTAAATTAAGAAGAAGAAGAAAGAAGAACACGTGTGGGAGCACAAGGGACCTCAAAATCTGATGGATTCGATCGGAGGAGAGGCCTATCGTATCGGGCCTCTCTCTCATAGTCTCATATCAGTGTGACATACGGTATATAAAACAAGGACAAAAACGTGGTTGTGTTGTGTGTCACCGACTCCCACACACTGAAGTCAAATAGGGCGGCTTTCACACCTCTGTGCTTCTAGACGTATGACAAAAAAATCTCTATCCTTTTCTATTAATAGATTCGTCTCTCTAGTTGCACTGCGATTTATGATTATGAATCTTTTTTTTCTTCTTCTTTTGATAATGAATATTTGAAGTCTTTTTTTTTTTCTTTTCTAATTGTGTTTAATCCTTTTAATCTGATGTTAAAATTATACATATATATCCCAAAAAAACATAAATGTTTTACAAAGCTAATGTAACGAAGAAATTATTATTATTATCATTATATATATATTTTTTTAAAAAATTTTGAATACGAAGAAATTATGTTTAGTCTTTCTCTATTCTTTAATCTTAATACGTTCTCAGCTACACAAAACTATAAAAGTGAGTCTTAAATCTTAACATACTGATTAGTGTTTAACATTTGACAATTTAATCTGTGATATTGAAATAAAGAAAGAAGGTATTAAAATTAAAACCAATACATAGTTGAAACATAGTAACAAAAATCCGAAAGAGCAAAAGATATTATCTCCCTTCAGTTCAATTTAGAACTCTGCATTCTATATATAGTCTTGAGAGCGAAACTGTTCCAACTGTAGTTGCTTCAGTGACTTCAAAGATTGACTCATCGATCAAGAATCACGTGAGAAGCTCGCTCATGTGGTTAACTTCATAACCATATTTGTAATTAGTTTTGCAAGTTGTAAATCCTTCTGACGAAGAAAGAAAGATGAATCTCCACTTTATGTTATAATTAGAATTTGTAATTTATATATTTGTTTAACAAAGAATTGGGTTGTTGAAACTTGAAAGCACACTTCACTGTTGCCCATTTCGATTCAATCCTTTGTCGCCTTCTTATTTTTTTACCTAAGTGGGGAGTTTTTTTTTTTTGCTTTAATTAACCTTTTTAGCTTTAGCTGAAAGAAATAAAGTAATTACCTTTTTGGTATGAAACAAAAGATTTAGCTTTTTATCTTTCAAGATTTTTCATATCACAAAAAAAAAAAAAAAGTTTGTAAGTGAAGTCCACGCTGTATTTATTTCGCTGATAAGTATATATTATCTTTATGTGCATGCACTTGCTCTCTATCATTCAACTAAACTCTAAAGAAAAAGACTTTTGTCTTTTCTTAGGCTTCAATTATTTGGACAACCAATTTATTTCATCTTAAACTTTTATATTTTTCTGCCTTCTTTTTCCATGAAGCTTCCAACGCTTTTTTGACGAGTTAAATGTGAATGACGACTCAACTAGATTCCAAGATTTTATTCCTTTTGACTATAAAAATGATTCTTCTAGTTAAGTTACGATAGTTACCGTACAGTTAAAAAATATATTAAAAGGGGGTCAATCTGTGTTTTAATTACTTGGCTAGTTTTTTTTTTGCTTTATACAGTGATCCATGCATACGTTCGAATAACGTCAATGATTGCTCTTGTTATTATAGGTAACCAATTAAGCTCTTCTATTATAGGCTCTTTTGAGTATCTAGCCTAAATAGACTCTACAGACCAAGCTATACATTTTTAACTATAGTTTTACGCTCAATAAAGACAATCAATATTATCTCTTCACTTGATCAATGGTAAATCTATAATAGCAAAAGGATATTAATATCAATAGCAAAAAAAAGAAAAGAAAAAGTGTTTTCTTACTAATTTTTTGTTTTTGGTTTGGACTCACAACTAGCTAGTGTCTTCTGGCGTGGAATCAATTATTAATGTCACCACCTAATCCGAATATGACAAATGAATACTAATACTCTCTCGCAAAACATATTCACCAATAAAAATAAATGAAAACACTCTAAATTATATTTCTTCTTTTTTTTTTTTTCATGTCGGAAAAAGAAGAGTCCACCGAGAAAAAGAGTCCGCAAACAAAATTTGAACATTGGCAATTATGGAGCGGCAGATATTTTAATTATTAGTTAGTTCTAATAATAGTCGATAACTTTATGTATATATACACACACGTTGTGCGTTATCAACAGCTTTATAAAAATGTGAAAATTGTAAGGGGAACATGAAAATATAAATTTACAATTAATGATACTAAATTACTAATATACATCATTGAGTTTAGCAGTTAGCACTGTAGCCGTAGTATTTTCTTTAAAACTGAAAAACATTCCACGAACGTGCACAAAAAAAAAAGTATATACAAAAAATAGCGTTGCGCGCATAGTACAAAGTCTACATCTACGGATCCACCTAACCTACCATATAGAGTGTAGTTGCATAAATTAAAGACGATATATCATATATATAATAGTTAACTTTGTATGTGCGTTTTTGTTTTATAACGTTTTGTAATGAATGTTTTGTTCAGTTTACGCTTTGCTTCATTACGAAAAAAGTAGAATAAAACATAGAACGTCACAGTTCCATAACATAAGGCATGCGTTAGGTCAAAACTACTCTATTAACAAAATAAGGTGTTTTTGCTTTGTACACAATATTCAGCTTAGAAGAAGATATGGATAATACTTATATATATATATATATATATATGGTTTCAGTTTTCGTATGTGCATTATCTTACTAATTATATACTTTTCTACATATCCATTTTTCAATACGTATCTCCTTAATAGGACGGTCAATGAAAACCAAAACAAAAATGTGACAAAACAAGTATCAAGTACCTATCAAAACCTATAATAATAATAATAATTTATTCCAGTACTGTATAATTAGAAAACTAAATAGTATAGTTATCAAGGGTCCCTCCTTCAACAAAACCAAAAATAAAAAAAAATAAAAAAAAATATTCAACTACAGCGAGCTTACCATATAGTTTTTTGGTTCCAATATCCGCCTATTATTATTATTATTATATCAGCGTCGTATAAAATAATGACGCCATCAAAATTAATTTCCATGCATAAGCCATAAACAAATACTACTCGTATAAAAAGAAAGAAAGAAAGAAAAATACAAAATAAAGTGATAGTGATTAATTTATACAAATCTACAAAGCGTAAAGCCAAATTTTTAAAAAATAAAATTTGAAAGAGTTATTTAATGGTATGTATAGCTGAGCTGACAGCAGATAAGAAGAAGAAGAAGAAAGAACCTTTGCTTCAAAGCGGCAAAGCTTTACTCGCCCCCGCCATTCTCTCTCTCTCTTCTCAAACCCACCGATGTGAAAAACAAGTTTCCGATTAACTCAAACCACCTTCACCGACATGGCTCCGTCTTCTCGGAACTTCTTCTCCTTCCTCGTCTTCTCTCTCTTCTCCCTCGTTTCTTCGGACGACCTCCAAGTCTTACTCAAACTCAAATCATCACTCTCCCATTCGAATCCCTCCCTCTTCGATTCCTGGACGTCTGGTACCGGTCCGTGCAGCTTCCCCGGAGTAACCTGTAACTCTATCGGCAACGTCACGGAGATTGATCTCTCCCGTCGAAGCTTATCTGGAAACTTCCCCTTCGATTCCGTCTGCGAGATTCGGAGTCTCCAGAAACTCTCACTCGGTTTCAATTCCCTCTCTGGAACAGTCCCCAGCGATTTGAAAAACTGCACGAGCCTCGAGTATTTGGATCTCGGCAACAATTTGTTTTCCGGTGCTTTCCCTGACTTCTCCTCTCTGAATCAGTTACAGTTTCTCTACCTAAACAACAGCGCGTTTTCCGGCATGTTTCCGTGGGCTTCCCTCCGAAACGCGACGAGTCTCGTCGTTTTGAGCCTCGGAGACAATCCCTTCGATAAGACGGCTGGGTTCCCGGTGGAGGTTGTTTCTCTGAAGAATCTCTCGTGGCTGTACTTGACCAACTGCAGCATCGCCGGGAAGATCCCACCGGCGATCGGGGATTTGACGGAGCTAAGGAATTTGGAGATTTCCGATAGTGAGTTAACAGGTGAGATTCCGGCGGAGATCGTCAAGCTTACTAATCTCCGGCAGCTAGAGCTTTACAACAACTCATTGACCGGAAAGCTTCCTACCGGATTCGGAAACTTGAAGAACCTCACTTACTTGGACGCTTCGACCAATCTTCTACAAGGCGATTTATCGGAGCTCAGGTCTTTGACTAATCTCGTTTCTCTTCAATTGTTCGAAAACGAATTCTCCGGTGAGATTCCGCCGGAGTTTGGCGAATTCAAGGATCTCGTGAATCTGTCTCTGTATACGAACAAGTTAACCGGTTCATTACCTCAAGGACTCGGTTCGCTTGCTGATTTCGATTTCATCGACGCGTCTGAGAATCAGCTAACCGGACCGATCCCTCCGGATATGTGCAAGAACGGGAAGATGAAAGCTCTGCTTCTTCTGCAAAACAATCTCACTGGCTCCATCCCTGACTCGTACGCTAACTGTTTGACTCTGCAACGGTTTAGAGTTAGCGACAACTCTCTCAACGGAACTGTTCCCGCGGGACTTTGGGGCTTACCGAAGCTCGAGATCATCGACATAGCCATGAACAACTTCGAAGGTCCGATCACCGCCGATATAAAGAACGGTAAAATGCTTGGAGCGTTGTATCTAGGGTTCAACAAGTTGTCTGATGAGCTGCCTGAGGAGATTGGTGACACGGTATCTCTGACCAAGGTTGAGCTTAACGATAATATGTTCTCAGGGAAGATTCCAAGCTCAATTGGGAAACTGAAGGGACTTAGCAGTCTGAAGATGCAGAGCAATGGCTTCTCCGGTGAGATACCCGACTCTATCGGGTCCTGTTTGATGCTCAGCGATGTAAACATGGCTCAAAACTCGCTATCCGGAGAAATCCCGCACACACTTGGATCTCTTCCCACGCTCAACGCTTTAAATCTTTCAGACAATAAGCTCTCCGGGCTCATCCCAGAGAGTTTGTCTTCTCTAAGGCTTAGCCTTCTTGATCTGTCTAACAACAAGTTATCCGGTCGTATCCCTCAGAGTTTGTCATCATATAAAGGTAGCTTCAACGGCAATCCTGGACTCTGCAGCATGACGATCAAATCTTTTAACCGGTGCATAAATCCTTCAAGATCGCATGGAGACACTCGCGTTTTCGTTCTGTGTATAGTTTTCGGCTTACTGATCTTGCTTGCGTCCCTTGTGTTTTTCTTGTACCTTAAGAAAAGCGAGAAGAAGGAAGGTCGATCGCTTAAACACGAATCTTGGAGTATAAAGTCATTCCGAAGGATGAGTTTCACGGAAGATGATATCATCGATTCGATCAAAGAAGAGAATTTGATCGGTAGAGGAGGTTGTGGCGATGTGTACAGAGTAGTACTTGGTGATGGTAAAGAAGTTGCGGTCAAACACATTCGGTGTAGTAGTACTCAGAAAAATTTCAGCAGTGCTATGCCGATCCTCACTGAACGGGAAGGACGATCGAAAGAGTTTGAAACAGAGGTGCAAACGCTGAGCTCTATAAGGCACTTAAACGTAGTAAAACTCTATTGTAGCATCACGAGTGATGACTCAAGCTTGCTGGTGTACGAGTACTTGCCTAATGGAAGTTTATGGGACATGCTTCACTCGTGCAAGAAATCAAATCTTGGTTGGGAAACACGGTATGATATTGCTCTAGGTGCAGCGAAAGGGCTTGAGTACTTGCATCATGGGTACGAGAGACCAGTGATTCACCGTGACGTTAAGTCAAGTAACATATTGCTAGATGAGTTCTTGAAACCTAGGATAGCTGATTTCGGTCTTGCCAAGATTCTTCAGGCCAGCAATGGTGGTCCAGATTCCACCCATGTGGTTGCAGGAACCTATGGCTACATAGCTCCAGGTAAATAAAGAGACCTAACTCTTATATCATCAGCTGGTCTCGCATTTTGATGTTAGATTTTAACGTTAAAAATTTAAAATTGTTGCAGAGTATGGATACGCTTCAAAAGTGACTGAGAAATGCGATGTGTATAGCTTCGGGGTGGTGTTGATGGAGCTGGTCACAGGGAAAAAACCGATAGAGGCAGAGTTTGGAGAGAGCAAAGACATAGTGAATTGGGTGAGCAACAACCTGAAGAGCAAAGAGAGTGTGATGGAGATTGTGGACAAGAAGATAGGAGAAATGTATAGAGAAGACGCGATCAAGATGCTGAGGATTGCTATCCTCTGTACCGCGAGACTACCTGGACTAAGACCGACGATGAGGAGCCTGGTTCAGATGATCGAGGATGCTGAACCGTGCAGGTTAATGGGGATTGTGATAAGCAAAGAGAGTGATATCAAGATCAAAGAAATAAGTTGATGATTGAGGGACCAAATCTCTCTGTTTTGGTAACACTATGAAACTTAGAGAGAAAGGACTAATGTGGATCATCAAATTTATTTACGACGTAAGAGAGTTTAGATGGAGAATGTGATTCCAATACTCCTCCTGGTTAAAGAAATCATATAGGTAATGTAATGATCTGATGTAAACTATTTCTTGTAATTGTAGAATTTTGGTATAAGGGTTTCGAATAAGTTAATGAATGGTCAGTCAACTACTGTGTGAAATTTATGGTGCTTAGATACATAGCTGCACTCGTACTTAAGTATTATGATATAAACATACTGTATGTCCTAATCGATTCAGTTTTATTTAATTATAATTTTGTAAGACATAATCAGACTAACAAAAAATTCTCAGACGAAACCAAATCCAAATTGGAGTCTTGCTGTGACATAAAACAAAGAATAGATATGCTCCCTTGTGATTTCTAAAAGTTTGGTCAACATGTACGTGTGTGCTCAAAAACTTTTTTATAGTTGCCGACTTTGACCACCCAACATAATAAAAGACAAGTGTTTATTTTCTTCATTCTTCACAAGCAGACACAATAATGCTTCTCTGCATTGTTTCGATACGTTAAACATTGTATTATTATATTTCTGAATCTCTGGGCGACAGTTCTAATTAATCTCTTAAAATTGACTTTTCGAAGCATATTATTTAACGTTTAGAATTTGCTATTAGATGATTTAAAAACTCACTAGTAGATTGTAAACTGATCTCGTAAACGTCATCCAAAAGAAGCGTTCAACAGCTTCTATCTCTATATTCCAATCTTAATGCAGGAAAACATCTTTCATAAATGCATTAGTTACAAAGCTCAAATAAAAATTGATAATGAACCATTTGTTATATGCTACCTAATACCTTTCCAGAAGACTAATCTTATAACTTTACCAAGTCTTTAAATAAACTAAAAGCTGTCTTCCCCATATCTTTATCTTCCCTTGGTTTGCAATTCAATCCAAAACCAATGATTAATAGCGCACTCACATAAAAAAAGTAATCAAATTGTTTTTCACATGATTCAGTTAGCTACAGTATAGTGTAAACACTAAATAGACATAGGCATTAATTAATTACAGAATGTGTGGTGGACCAAAAACCCACTAAATGGCCTTAGTCCTGTTAGTGGTGAACTTTCATTTTGTAAGACTTCGATATGGCTAAAACCAGATCTAACCGGTTAACTAATCACAACTCTTGTGTGTTTTGGACAATTAATCGTGCATTAGCCGTAGAACCAGACCAACTTACAAACTAGTAATTTGAATCGGTCTATACAACACCGGTCCGGACTAAACCAATCTAATGCAGAGAGATGCTTCATAACCATACAGAGACCATAGTTAAGGTTACATACAATTAATAACTTCTTCCGATTGCGTGTACATACACAAACTAACAACAGATTTTCTCCTACTATAATATACAACAGTTTTTTTTTTGTATCTTTCTCTACCTCAAAAAATATTCTGCATAATCAAGTTTTATCAGCGGAATAGATCTTGGAATGACCACATTATGAATCTTGCAAAGATATCAGACTCCAAGAATTCGATGTGAGCAGCACGGCCGATGAATGAGTTCAGGTTACGACCATGCGAGGTTGTGTCGAAGTTGACATCGCAGCGCATGAACACTCTCTGGTGGTGAGGAGTTTCTGGGGTTGGTCCACGTATTTGGTCCATGCAGTTATTAAGCATTTCCAAGAAGGCAACACCTCTTTTTGAGTTGTCGAAAGAAGCTGGTTGGCAAGACTCGATCCTGGCTGAGTGATATGGAACATACCCATCCTGTCATGGCAAAAAAACATGACTCTTAAAGCACAAAAACAAAAAATCTTCACAACTAGCATCAAATGAACCAAGACTTTTGCATTGTGTGATCAAAATATCCTTTGTCTCTACAATTTTTATTTTGGTGGTTTAAATAGCTATATAAATGTCAAAATTGAAAAGTCCATTCCAAGGCTCAGAACCAGAGATCCCTGACATTATTTCCGAAAGTATAATGGAATGTACCTGAGGGGAAGACAGAAGAATTATATTTTTGAAACTGCCCAAAGTCTTTTGCTGAAAAGAGTTTCAAAACCGACATTAGAACCAGAGAACAATGGTCTGTTTGTAAATATGGTACAAACTATTGATGAACTGTTAAGATCTTTTGCTACCTTGCAGAGCTTGTAAATGAAAGTATTCTGGAGATCAGGATCATCTGTGAGCGTAAGCTGATGAATAACCTGAGTACTCTTCAACTTCTTCAGGAGCCATAGTCCAGAATTAAACAAAGAATTTGAACTGTATAGATAACCCAAATGTGGACCCGAAAGCGATAAATATGTATGTAGATACTTCCTGTATGGATCCATCAAACTATCTGCAACAAAATACATAAGTCGGTGATAATGATTAAACACCATTACCGAACTAAGAATCCATTTTTGTTATTGTCTGAGAGATTCTAAGAAAATACCAGCTATTGCAGCTCTGATGATAACGTTACCAATTGAATGTCCAACAAAACTCAGCTTAATGTTTTTCAAGCGCCCATATCTCGCATGTTTATCCTTTTTCCTCTTGAAGAAAGAAACAACTTCCTGTGCAAGCCTCTGACCCATTTCCCTGAAATCGCCATGTGTTTTATCCTCATTTGCCTCAGACATGAGAAATTCTATCTTTGGATCAATCAGGAGCCACTGATTCCGGATAAGCCTTAGGTCTAAGTGATGCCCCTATAGTAGTATTAAACAAAACACTATCATCTAAATGAATAAATAGTTGACAAGCTACAAAAGAAAACTATAACTGCATAAGTAAAACAGAAACAAACAAACAAACAAAAAGCAACTCTAACATATGGACACTAATAAACACAATGATCTGAGGATGAAAGGTATATTACTACATAAGCTTAAGAGAGAGCAAGGAATAAGCATTAACTGAACTCCTAGAAGATACTTGCCTGGAAACCATGAACAAAAACAACGATCTTCATCTCACGCCCACTATGCTGTGGGTTATTATGTTTTTTTGTCCCACTCTCATCATCGTGCCCATTAAGTAAGCTAGAATCGATTCTATCAACATGTCTCATGTACGAATTATCACTGAAAGTACGCCTTGGTGCATTCCAAACACGTTCAATTATAACAATAGGAACCCGCATAGGATCACCAAATATATGCATGTCTTGTATCGCCCGGTTGTTAATCTGCACAGTAGTTATGTTAATCAAATTTTACAGCTTACGAAACCACCAGGTTAATGAATCACGATACAAAAATAACAAACCCGCATTTGTGCAATACTTCGACGGTGAAGTTCAGCGCGGGTGGATGCTACTTGCGCAGGCTGCATAAGAGCAAAAATTGAATGAGTAGAGCCAGGCAGGCAATCTAATAAAATTTGAAAATAGACTCTTAACTATATACTCACATCATTCAGCTTCAACAAACTTGTGCCTCTTTTGTGTGAACTATGGTTTGAAATGTCTTCCATTCCACTTATAAAATGATGTGGCATTTCAACCTTGGAGTACACCATCCATATCGACCATTCAGCTCTTCGATCTTTTGTCCAGATATCATGAAGATATTCCAGGATTTTTGTGTTATTATCCCTGAAAAGAACAAATAAGTACAATGATCAGAAGCTAAGTTTGTAAAGCATTTAAGCTTGCAGGCTTATTGGACTATGGATGTCTAAGGGAAATTACCGATGAAATGTCAAAAAGATATTCCAAAGATAATGAAGCTGGGTGCCCAGTAAGTGGAATGTGCGAGATAGATGCTCTTTCGAGAAGTTGTGAAGCAAGTCATCACTTGCTGAATCAAATGGGCCATTCAACTTCTGTGCCAAAAATGGAGAAACAAGCTCATATTCCACAAGATAGTGAAAGAAGGTAATAGATAAAGAATTCTCTGCAATATCATAAAGCAAGGACCTCAAGATTGTTTTGTTGCTTGCCTTGTCCTGAACCTTCAACTTCAACCGATTTTCCCGTTGAAGCTGAGTCAGATAAAAGAGCATTGTCCATACTAGATACAAACTCAGACAAGTCAATGGTTTGACCAACTGCCTTGCTAAGTATTTTCAGTTCTTCAAGCAAAGTGTCACGAGCTCCAAGTAAAGCTCTCACAAATGACACAAGCTTCTTGTCAGCAGAAGCAATCTGAGCAAAGGCCTATTGAGACATAAAACAATCAATCAGTAATAATAATGAAAATTCCAAGAAAGAGTGGCATTACTAAAATTCCAAAATCAGGGTAGCTTAATAAAGATCTTGTCTAATCATGCAACTTTGTAACATTAAGTCTGTAAAACCATGCTAGTTGCAGCTTTCATACAAACACTGTCAACAAGACTGAAAAACCTGATGGTTTAAACATGACTCATAAAAAGCAACTACTCGAGAAAATGGTGTTTGATATCTCAGCTACAGCTCTAGCATTCTGAAAGTAGAGATCCTAGAAAAGAATAAGAACTCAAGCTTAAAGTTCAGCTTCCTAGGAAAAGAGCATTATATAAAGAAGACAATGATGAGATCATCTGTAGAGCCTCTGAACAGCATAACGCAAAAAAAAAAAAAAACTGAATTAAGGGTATGCCATGCTGAGAAGATAGTGTAAGAGACTAAGGGCACATACTTTTTTGGAGGACTGAACATTGCCGCTGGCCAAATTTTTACCAATACTCGCATCACTGCACCAAACATGTTGATATATTAACTGAAGAGATGTAGAAAACTCAGTAAAAAAGATAGGAATTTAACAATGGTCAATTATGCAGAATTACTATTAGAGGCATACCATGATAATATTGCAGGCCGTTTGTAAGCAGCAGATTTCATGACACTGATGTGGACACTTACATCGATAAGAACTGCGTGAAAGGTATCAAAGTGCACCGGACAGTAAGAATGCACACCTGATAGAGCTTTAGGAGGAATACGAAATTCATGTACTGCTGCAGGAGAAGCATCTGAATGTGTCACTGATATATCCTCCACAAGAGGGGAATACAAAAGCTCAAACTTCAAAATAACAGCAGATGTAGCTGGCCCCTGCATCAATCACAGTTAGTCATTTATCGTACACCACTTAATCACAAATTGCATTGTTTGGATTTGTTCATATTGGCCTTCATGATTGTAAGAATACATTATAAGATCGATACCAAGGCAAAAAGGAAAGAGAGACTGGTACCTCATATCTTTCCAGGGGCATAGTAAACGAGACCATCATGCATAGACGAACATCCTGTCTTGCATATTTAATGCGGAAGGGCTGTGTTAAGAAACTATTATCTTTATCATCAATCTTCCACACTCCATTTGAGCCGTTTGAAGTTGAATCCAGAGCTGTGACACATAGGTATGTAGATCCTTTAGTGGTACAAATTTATTATACTAAAAACAAACTCTCCCAGTAGGCAGTAATAGGACAAATAGACATATGATTCTGGACACAGTCTGGCATCATGGAATAGTGCACTCAATCACACAAAGGAAGCAAAATAAAAGAAAATGATTCTGAAGAAAGCTGATGGATTTAGAGTACCTTCATACTGAACAACTCGTGAAGGAATTCCACAAGAGTTGTTATCACCGTCCTCCCATCTCATAGTGATTTTTATTTGATACCATCTAAAACAATCAAAGATACAACTCTTATTAGAATTAGAGAAAGAAGAGGGAAATTGCTTCAACTTAGGCGAAGCTAAACGAATGGCAGCTGTAAACATACCCTTGCTGGAAAAGATCAAGGTTATGAAACCTATGGATATAGATAGCAATCTCCTGAACTGTGTCGACCATTAGCACTGGCTTAACCCTGGCTACGTAAGGCTCAGCATCAATCGTCTTAGTTTGCCTACTTCTTTGGCTCAGTCCAATTAACCATCCAAGACGGCGTAACATATGGAGAACTCACATCACCTTCTAAAACTTGGGATGGGTGTATTCAGGATAATTATATCCTGAACAAGTACAACTACTACTTGGAAATCTCATGTCTCAGTGAATAACAGAAAACTTCTCAACATAACCACATCCGACAAGCCAAACAGAACAAGCTGCACATGAAAAGATACAAAATTTCAAAAAAAAAAAGAAAAAAAGTTCAATAAGGAGTTGACATAAATAATCATCTCATAAAAGAAAGAATATCATCAACAAAGTAAACAAACCAAGAGAATTTAAAATGCAGATATCTCTGTTGGGACATAAACAAGAATCTTGAAAAACAAATGAAACAGCTACTTAGAGTCGTAGTGTCCGACAACAAATTAGGTCAAGAAGCTAAAATCTCAGAATATGGGCCAGTGGATTACAAAGAAGAAGAAAATCATATTGTTCAATGTCAAAATACCGAAGCAACTATGTTTCCCTAAATACGAAAAAGGAAAGAGATACAATCGTAATAATAACTTAAAAAGGAGAAAAATATACGAAAATGACAAAACTTTAACCAGAAGAAGAACTACATTACCTCGAAATGGGGGGAAAATAATATCAAAGGCAGAGCAGAAAAAGCAGAGAGAGAGAGAGAGAGAGAGAGAGAGAGTAAGAAGGAGAAGATAGGGTGGGCCTTGAAACTTAGATCTGACGATTTCAGAAAGAAAAAAAAAAAGAAACCCAGATTCGGTTTAGGGTTTTCTTTTTGCAGAAGGACAAAAACCTGAGCTAATGAAAAGAGAAGATCTGGGAAAGTTACAGATGATGATGATGGTAGGGAACAATCTATATGTTTTTTTTCTTTTTTTTGAGGGATTCAAGGTTTTTATTTTATTTTAAAGAGTTTTAAAAAGTCAGATTTGATTTATATTGGTCGGGAAAAGGATGAATGTTCATGCGACGACACCAATTACTATGTGTTTTTTTGTTTGTTTTTTTTTTCTCTGTTTTTTACTTCTTCTGTTTTCTTTTAGTTGTTGTTGTTGGGTTCTTTTGCGCCAAATCACTGTCGTGAAAAGGGTGGGATCCGACCCGTTGTTTTACTGGGCCTTTGAGAGAGATGATGAGTTCCAAACACGATTTATTGGGTTGTTTATAAGGCCCATTTAAAGACCATTATCATTACCATTCATATTTTTCGGCCCAAAAAGATGCACTAGCTAGTTTGACTACATTTGGACAACTAATAACACAGATTTTAAATATAATATTAAATTTGATCAAATCCATATTTTATCTTAGTCAGTATAAAAATTAATTATGGAAATAAGATATAGATTTTGGAATAAAAATAGTGGAAGAGGAATTACGGATTTTGTTGACCAGCCAATATGAGGGGAATATGTGGAATAAAGATATGTAAAGACTCGCCGACCCAAAAAAAAAATAGATATGTAAAGAATCTTGGAATGTGATTAATAAATACTATAACAATAGGAAGATAACAACATTCCCTTTTCTTTTGAGTAATAAGCATCGGATTTCGCTAGATTTACTTTGAGACGTTTTACAATAAATAAAAAAGTTGAACAGGCAAAAAAAAGAGAAAAATATTGATTATATTTAGATGCCAAGAAATAAAAAGTTGAATAATAATAAATACTTTCACTGGTATGAGTCAATGGTTATACTTTTTTTTATAAGGTAAGAAACACGCAACCATTGACTAGTATATAATAAATGTTCATTTACTCTTTTTCACTCTGCTTCTTTTGTCACAAACCATCATCTTCGACGACACAGAGACAGAGAGGAGCATAGTTATATTATATTTCCCCTCGATGGTGGAGTCGGGTGATGTCTCTGGGAATAGATTCGACGACGATGGTCGGGAGAAGAGAACGGGGACGGTTCTGACGGCGAGCGCGCACATAATCACGGCGGTCATAGGTTCCGGCGTGTTGTCCTTGTCTTGGGCGATAGCACAGCTTGGTTGGCTGGCAGGAACCCTGATTTTGGTCACTTTCGCCATCATCAACTACTACACATCCACCATGCTCGCCGACTGTTACCGATCTCCCGACGACGACCCGGGTTCACGGAATTATACTTACATGGACGTCGTCCGAGCTTACCTTGGTTTGTCTTTAATTACCACACTCTTCTCTTAACCTCAAAAATATTAATTACATTTTTTATTTCTTGTGATCTATATTTTCTTTTGGTTTTAGAATTTTTTTTACATAATCAAAATCCTTCATGTTGTGTTTGATTTACTTCATTTTTGTCGTAAAGAATTAATAATATCATATTTGTTATAATAGCTTGTAGATTGTACTAGAGATGTTTGTGAATTGTGAGATAGAAGAATAACTATAAATTGACAGGTGGTAGGAAAGTGCAGCTGTGTGGACTGGCACAGTACGCAAGTCTCGTAGGGATCACTATTGGTTACACCATCACTGCCTCCATAAGCTTAGTGTAAGTCGCAGCTTCTTATTTTTATTTCGATTATTAAGGAGCCACTGATTAAAAAATTTGATTGATCATGTTTTGTTTTGTTTGTGTTGGGTAGAGCGATCGGAAAAGCAGATTGTTATCATGACAAGGGGCATGGTGCGAAATGTTCCTTGTCGAATTATCCATCCATGGCAGCATTTGGGGTCGCCCAAATCATGCTCAGCCAGATCCCTAATTTTCACAAACTCTCTTTCCTCTCCATCATCGCCACTGTTATGTCCTTCTGTTATGCCTCTATCGGAATCGGCCTATCCATCGCCACTGTGACAAGTACTAATTACATTTTCCCTGGATCCTATATCTTATTCCTTTGTCTAAATTTTTTATCTAAAACTTGTTTCTCTCTCTCAATCTATATGGAAGGTGGGAAGGTTGGTAAGACGGGGCTGACGGGCACAGTGGTTGGAGTGGACGTAACTGCGTTTGAAAAACTGTATAGATCGTTTCAAGCTGTTGGAGACATTGCTTTCTCATATTCTTATTCCATTGTTCTCGTTGAGATCCAGGCATGTCTTTTATTTCTACTCTTTTGATTAAATTATTTTTTTTTACATCAATTTCCACTGTTTTTATAACTGTATATTAGTTCATTTAGATGTTGGAATTGTCGTCATCATGGGCACATACAAATACCTAGCGTTATTTTACTTTCTTCCGCACATAAATTTTTTATCTTTATTGATTTAACACAAAACCATATATTATTTTCGTTAATGATAACTTTGGTGTATGTTTATGTGATATATAGGATACACTGAAATCAAGTCCACCAGAGAACAAAGTAATGAAAAAAGCAAGCCTTGCTGGAGTCTCCACCACAACTGCTTTCTACATCTTATGTGGTGGCATGGGATATGCCGCATTCGGGAACCAAGCCCCTGGTGACCTCCTTACTGACTTTGGTTTTTACGAACCTTACTGGCTCATCGATTTTGCCAATGCTTGCATTGTTCTCCACCTAGTCGCCGCATATCAGGTATATCTCGTTCATATATATTATTAGTCCAAGTCTCGACCTAGAATTGACTGTTATATATATATACACAACAGAAAAATATAAGCAAGCACACTTACCATTATGTTTACATATATCATGGACAGGTGTTTGCACAACCAATTTTCCAGTTTGTTGAAAAGAAATGCAACAAAAAGTGGCCAGAAAGCAATTTCATCACCAGTGAACATTCGATGGATATACCATTGATTGGAACATGTCGCATCAACTTTTTCAGACTACTGTGGAGGACAGCCTACGTGATTGTGACAACAGTTGTAGCAATGATATTCCCATTCTTCAATGCAATCTTGGGTTTGATCGGGTCATTCGCGTTCTGGCCACTCACAGTTTATTTTCCGGTGGCAATGCACATGGCGCAGACAAAGGTTAAGAAGTATTCTCTAAGATGGATAGGGCTGGAACTCCTCGTATCGCTTTGTTTAATTGTTTCGCTCCTAGCCGCAATGGGATCCATCGTGGGCTTGATAAGCAGTGTCAAGGCATACAAGCCTTTCAACAACTTAGATAAGTGATAAGCATAAGTAATCAAAACAATACTGTATGTACGTGTTATATCTCCTAAAAACATTAATATGGCGATGACATACAAAGTTTTTCATCAACGGCTCTTGTCAACAACCCGTACTTCAATGGTGTAATATTATGTGACGTTTTAGATAATCTTAGCCTGTCTCGATGAATTGGAAACAAAAATATATTTGTGTATGTTTTGAAAAGAGATGGGAATCTTGTGGATATAGATAGAATCTGAAAAATGGCTCGACCGAATTCTATTACGGATATATTTTTTTTTTAATAAGATAATAAACTTTAAAAATCAGGATAATGCTAGTCAAAACCAATATTTAATAGGACCAAAAAAAAACATTAACTGTGACTTAATTACGGATTGTGTGAGATAAGAATGAAAGAAACGGATAAGATCCCAAGGCTCAAAATCCTACATAACTGAAATTAGTGAAACATCATGGTATGCGTTACTTACATGTTTTGAAAACCGTTAAACTATAAATTAGAGCACAGAAACATGTAAATTCTCATTTAATTGCTACAACAAAATAAATAGATATCTTCTTAATTATAATCTGGTAATTTAAATTATTAATTACAGATTAATTTAGGTAATTGCATGTGAGGAGGAGGATATGAAAAGATAAATGAGCATGATAAGATATAGCTAGGCAGAAGAAGGAAACATATCTCTCTGTGTTTAGTCATCTAATTTCAGTCAGTTACCTAAATTCGATTATTTCATATTATCATTTAATGTAGTCTAAATATCATCTTTCAAACCAATATTAATTATACCTAAAAAATTGTTGGTCTATAGTAAGCTGCTAAATAAAGGTTTCCGAAATAAGCAATATAGTCACCAACCAAATTATGGTCAATTTTTTTTAAATCAAAAAGAAGAAATAAATCCCCCCAACATAATATAAGAAGATTCACTTTGAGAAAGATAATAAAAAAAAAAAAGGATTCAACGCAATAAGATGTTCTTTCCATATAGGCATTGAATGATATTTGTGTGTATATAAATGATCCAAGTATAAGTGCTTTGTGAGGAGGACTCTTAAGACAACCTCTCTTTAATTCAATAACTCTCTCTTATCTATCTCTCTTTGGTTTAGTGATTCCTCCTCTCTCTCAACAACAGTCATGGACACACACCACAACCCTTCGGCGGTGGAGATGGGTGACACCGCCGTGAAAAACGTCGACGACGATGGTCGACAGAAGAGAACGGGAACATTTTTAACGGCGAGTGCGCACATTATCACGGCGGTGATAGGCTCCGGGGTGCTGTCGTTGGCTTGGGCACTAGCACAGCTTGGTTGGGTGGCAGGGACCATAGTTTTGGTCAGTTTCGCCGTTATTACTTACTACACGTCCACCTTCCTCTCCGACTGTTACCGTGGGCCGGACTCCATCACCGGAACTCGCAACTACTCTTACATGGGCGTCGTCCGAGCTTACCTTGGTATGGCTTTATCTCCCGAGCTTACATTTTGTGTGTTTTTTAAAAAAATATACAGTATATGATCATTCATTTTTTTCACAGATTTCTCAGTTTCGTAGACATTATTTTCCTGATGAAAACCATTTTGTTCATTTGATATAATTTAGATTTGGCCTAATTATTATTTTCCATTAGGCCTGATTTAGATTTGGCCTAATGAACAATGATGTTTTTTGATTCTTTTCCATTTCTGTCACAAGGGTGATGACTAGCAAAGATAAAATAAAATAAAAATGTTATCTAAACACATTTAATGCTAAGCTGAAATTTGATTTTTTTTTACAGTAATTGCCTCATTTCAACAATTTTTTTACCATGCAAAATTCGTTCAAGAAAGTTATTGTTGTTAAAAGATTTTATTAATTAGTGTGCATGCTCTTCTTCTTGAGAAGATATGAATTAATTGTCATAATTTACGAAAAAAGAAGAAATATGGAAAAAAAAATATCTTTCTTTGCTAAATTAGTTAATAAGTTGAACTGACTATGTCTAGGATTGGTAACATATAGTCATTTCAATTATATCCGTTAAATAATGTTGTCAATAAATTCGATTGTTGACCTCCCCAAAGATTTTTGAATTGAAATTGTGGGGTGTTTTAAAAACTTTGCCATAAAAGACCAAAAGATGATACTTGAGTTATTGTTATCTAACATGAAACGACAGGTGGTAGAAAGGTGCAGCTATGTGGACTGGCACAATACGTGAATCTCGTAGGTGTCACTATTGGTTACACCATCACTGCCTCCATAAGCTTAGTGTAAGTCACACACACGCACATAACATGTTGTGAATAAAATACTTGAAAGCTTTGATTGATGTTTTATTTCTGTTATTGTTGTGTTCGTTATAGAGCGATTGGGAGATCAAATTGTTATCATGAAAAGGGGCATAAAGCGAAATGTTCTGTATCGAATTATCCTTACATGGCGTCATTTGGGGTCGTCCAGATTATTCTGAGCCAGATTCCTAATTTTCACGAAATCTCTTTCCTCTCCATCATCGCCGCTGTTATGTCCTTCTCCTACGCCTCTATTGGAATTGGCCTAGCCATCTCCTCTGTAGCAAGTACATTTTCATCCCTTTCTCAAAACATTTCAGAGATTATAATAATATGATTCTTCAAAGTTGACACTAACCTTGGAAAATGGTATCATATGAAAGGTGGGAATGTTGGTAAGACAGAGGTGACAGGAACAGTGATAGGTGTGGACGTAACTGCGACTGAAAAAGTTTGGAAGTCGTTTCAAGCGATTGGAGACATGGCCTTTTCATACGCTTTTACCACTATTCTCATTGAGATTCAGGCATTGTCTACTTATCTTACAATTAGTATTGCTTTCCTTTGCATGGTATTAAGTCTTTTGTTTGTTTTTGCAGGACACACTGAGATCAAGCCCACCAGAGAACAAAGTGATGAAACGAGCAACTCTTGCCGGAGTCTCAACTACAACTGTTTTCTACATCTTATGTGGTTGCCTCGGATATGCTGCGTTCGGGAACCATGCCCCTGGTGACTTCCTTACCGACTTTGGTTTCTACGAACCTTATTGGCTCGTCGACTTTGCCAATGCTTGCATTGCTCTCCATCTAATCGGTGCCTATCAGGTATACATTATTATACAACTTCATTAAGAACTTTTTGCTTTGATAATTCAGAAGCTTGTGTAGAAATAGAGTTATTTTGGTCATAAAATACAAGGGTTTAATTCTAAACCAATGCTCTGTTTTTTTTTGTTTATCCCTGTATAATATTGCAGGTGTATGCGCAGCCGTTTTTCCAGTTTGTTGAGAGCAACTGCAACAAAAAATGGCCTCAAAACAATTTCATCAACAGAGAATACTCGACAAAGGTACCTTTGCTTGGAAAATTTCGTGTCAACCTCTTCAGACTGGTTTGGAGGACTTGCTACGTGGTTATGACAACAGTTGTAGCAATGACATTCCCATTCTTCAATGCGATATTGGGTTTGCTTGGGGCACTCAGTTTCTGGCCACTCACTGTTTATTTCCCGGTGTCAATGCACATGGCGCAGAAAAAGGTTCAGAAGTATTCTCGTAGATGGTTGGCCTTGAACCTCCTCCTATGGGTTTGCTTGATCGTCTCATGCCTTGCCGCCACTGGATCCATCATTGGCTTAATAAAAAGTGTCAAGTCATATAAGCCCTTCAAGAGTTTAGACTAGTGACTTTGTGTTCTCTGAATTCTATGAGATTTATATTTAAACTAGACTTCAAAATTGCTGTGAGTTTCTGTTTTCGGCTATGTTTAAAATCCAAAATGCTAATTGATGTATTACTAAAATCCTTTGGATATTTGGTATGATAGCTTTTGATTTTTTTTCTTAAAGACTACAATTATAAGTCAACATTGGATGTTGGAGTCCCATCCCATTGAGTTTCATCAAGCTAAGCTTAAACATGAGTCTGTGACTGCAACACGCCGCATTAACCACACATATCAATAATAATTGCCATTACTGTAAGATAATTGGATAAGCTAGCCACACAAGTGTGGAGAGACGGGTACAAGTGTTTCGTTGTCTGAAAGAGATGGCAAAAATAGGTTTGCGAAAGTGATAATAGTTTGAAGAAGATGGATTTCAGCTTCCCATATTCTTGTGGTTGTGTCAATTTCGAGTTATTGTTATTATTTATTTTCCTTAATGGAATTGTCGGGGAAATCTTGAAAACAGACACACACAAATTGAGTCATTAATTTGGTTTGGCGTGTCCTACATTGTATGTTGCTATCACATCTTATATATTGGGAGGAGTTGGGCAATAGAGGATCAAGGTAAAGTTTGGTCCTTGCTAACGTTTCTTGTTGTTTACTACTAGCTTTCTATTCACTCAAATGCATTTATGTACTTCTTCCTTATCCTTGTCTTTTAATTTTACTCTGCGGTTTTGTGGTCGTAAGTTACTTGATGGCTACCATCATAACTGCCAAAGTAACCGATTCAGTAGCATCCGTTTACCCAAACAATTGCCTTGGGGTTACCTAACTATACCCAAACAGTCCTAATCGATTGTTCAATCCTCTACTATCACAACGATGTTTACAAACAAAACGAAATTCCAAATACTTCTTGAACTATATAGTTATTATTTATATAGATAACGATAGAGGAGTTTTAATATCAATTAAGTTCGAACCAAAGCATTCATATTTCATGACCTCAAAATTTTGGATATAAGAACAGTCAAAGAGGTGTAAATGCAGTTGTAGCACACAAATTTGCAATAGTCATTGTTCATTTTCTCAACCACCAATACAAACACAGTTTGTTATTGTAACTACTACCTTGATTTCAGACCAACTATAGTTAATTGACTACAGTCCCACCATGAAATATTGCACATCCAACAGGTAAAAGGGAACAAAAAAAGCAAACCAAGCAACAATCTCATGTGTCTTTTTTACACCAAGAGATTCTAAATTGGATTTTTTCTAATTTATACACTTACATAATCAAATCAAAGGCAAAAGAAGAGTGATCAAGAAACTCACTCTTACAACCAAACCCAGGAAAAAAAAAACCCAATACAAACCCACACAAACTCCAAAATAGAAACTCACTATGTACAACCTATTTTGTTAGTGCCTTACCGGAAGATTTATTTTTCAAAAAAAGAAAAATTACCCCCAAGGCCATTTTTCGTGACTCTAAAAATTTCAGAAATTAAAAACAAAAAATTGAAATCCTTATCTTTTCCTTCAGCTCAATGACTCATGGCAAAGCTCTTTCCTCATCCGTTGATTAAACAACCTGCAAGCATCCATGCTAAGATCAATGGCTGCAGACAGCGCCACGTAAGCAGCCGCATCTTCCATACAGCTAACGTGCTGCACACTTACCTCTACACAAGGCTTACTACATTTTCCTTCACCTTCCACACTTGCTGACATCACAAACCCTTTGTACACGTTCCACGGCCACAATCCGTAACCGTAATCGCCGCTCCCTCCTCTCGGACTATTGGCCGGAGACGCTCCACCACCGCTTCCGCCGCTCCCACCTCTGCGGCTTCTTGATCGGTTCACTCCACCTGTTGGCGATGACGAAGAAGACGATCCCAATTCGATTGAGAACTTCCCACCTTTGTGAGAACTGATGGTTGATTCCGCAAGCACGATTCCTGCGCCGCTCGATCCATCTGGGATGAGTTCGAACCTATAACCTAGCCCATCAGTGGCTCCACCGCGTTCCCGCCATGCTTCGAGTCTCCCCCAAGGTCTCCAGGTGCAATCTCCGGGACGTAAGATGAGCCACGACCCCGGGTTTGACCTGCTCACACGATCGGTTCCAGGAGATGCAACGAAGGGAGTCACTATTGAAGCCATGGCCACCGGAGAACCAGACAAGTCGTGGACAGTTATGGACCATCCTTTGCGCTCTTTCCCGGGACGTTCTCTCTCGCTCCCAAACGAATTTAGCCAGCTCCGTGGAACACTTGTCTCAGTCGGCAACGATCTGATCAATTAAAACACCGTTTAATCAACTTTTATATTAATCTAACCATATACGTAATTCCCTTTTAAATAGTAAAAGTGGTTAAATATCTCATAAGAGTAAAGTTTATACCATGAATAAAAGTAGTTAAATATCTCATAAGAGTAAAGTTTATACTATGAATTAAAGTAGTTAAATATCATAATAGTAAAGTTTTTTTCCAATGGATCTGTGTACTAAAGCAGAAATATTAAAACCAAGGAATGTTGATTTTAGTAGGTATTACACAATAATCTTTGGCGTTGGATCTTATTAAAGCGTATTCAGATTTGATTCCTTGGGAAAAGAACATAATTAGAAATATTTTTTTATTTTTTAAAAAACGATACCCAAAATTCCGAGAATTAAGGTGAAAATTGATTTGATTTGATTGGATAGATGCGAAAACTGACCTTGATCTCTGAGTACGATCACCGGTGTGCCGGAAACTGAATTTGCATGTGAAAACCGGTTGCCGGATATTGCCTTGAATCTGAACGACCTGAGGACTACATTCAGGCTCACCGTCGAACTGAAAGACGAATCTAGGATCAGGCTCCGCCTTCACATTCAGGTGAAACTGAGCCGACGACGAGGATTTCCCAGCTCCTTTCCCGACTGATATCCATCCGTTGTGGAAGACGCACGGTTTCGATTGCGTACCAGATAGATCCAACGGCACGGAGACTTTCGCCAGGAGACGACCTGAGTGTACACCGCAAGCTGCTCCGCCTCTTCCCGTGTAGATCAAAATCTTAAGGCACGGCTTAGAGGCGAAGATAGATCTGGAAGCTAACCGTTCGATATCGGAGCTACTGAGGTGGAACGTGGCGGCTAGGGTTTGGATCTCCGGGAACTGAGTTGTTTCCAGAGGAATGTACGGGATTGCGGCGGTTTGCGGCGGGAAGTTTTTGAGCTTGATTTTACAGAAGCAAGGAGAAGACGAAGGATGCACGACGGAGCTCGTCGTCTTCGCGGCTAACGGAACTTTCAAAGCTAGATTCCCGATCGTAAGACGGATGAATGGACATGGATCCATTTCGAATCGCTACAAGAGAGAAGAGTCAACTAGGGTTTACAGAGGGAGAGAAGAGAATGCGAGCTAGGGGTTAAGGGAGAGCGACATTAATGGCAGGAAACAATTCTAGAGACGAAGATGGCGACTTAGAGAAGAATTAGGCGAAGGAAAAAGAAGGGAGGCGACGGTAAAACGCAGCGTTATAATGGCGCCGCGCTGGGAAGAAGTTTTTGTCACGACCTAACCATTAGAGAGGAAGCAGTCGTCTTCTTCGTATTGTCTGTGTGGTTTTTAAGTGGAGACAAACAAGGAAACACTAATTACATTTTTATTTTTTTCCATATTTGCATTCCCTCCTTGGTTTCCCTTATATTTTCTAGAATTGTCCATTATGTCTTTATTATATCAGAACTTAAACAATTGCACCAAACCTTTTTAAATGAGTTACTTAACCCCCTGTTTTAAAAGATGTACGGAAGAATAAGAGGGTGAAATACGTAATAAAGAGTTAGTTGAGGGGTAGAGAGAAGAAAGGAAGAGAGATTGGAGCACAGCTGGGAACAGGCTGGCGAAGAAGTGCCAGGTCGGAGAGAGGTTGACGTCTTTTTTTATTTTTAATTATTTTATCTTATTTTTATCTCTCTCTCTCTCTCTACCTGATCAAGTGACCAACCACACAAAACATAGGGCTCCACGTATTAGAAATTTACCAAGTTAACCTCGTGCTGACGTGTACTTACGCAGCTGTTTCTGTGTGTTAAGTGCCTTGATCGGGGAATCTTTCCGCCTCTATGCGGAACTCACGTTTTCTTTTTCCTTTCTGTGTCAGTCAGTCTCTCATAGTTTTCTGGTATTTGTGACTTTTTTTTTTTATTACAAACAAATATTTAAAAGAGTTTGTCTTGAAAGAAAAAAATAAACAGCAAGAACAAATGACATTGTTCATTACTTCATCACTTGTAAGAAAAAAAAGGAAAGAGATGTTAAACTCGTTTAAGTGTAGACCACAATGTACACTGACTAGGCTTTTTAAAGTAAGTAATATAAACAGAACCAATGAAAAGACTCTGTTGTAATTTTGGAACCACGAAACTTTTGTTTCTATATTTGTTGTATGCTCCAGTACTGTGTGTATTGAGATTTGTAACGTGTTTAAACTTCCGAGGAACTCCATCATTTAAAATATTCACATTGAACAGTCTTCTACTGCAAAAGTTAAACTCGGTGTTCTATTCTTCTGAGTATTTTTATTTTTAAAAAAATATAACTTTCGTATTCTTAAATAGTGATGGCGATTTCGATAAGAATTCAGTTTTTTTTTGGGTTATAGAATGTGCAAAATTCATAAACAAATACATTAGTATTGCGGGTCAACAATTTATTTTTATATAAATTTTAAATTAAAGGAGAATTCTTTGGGGGATTGGGCGAGAGATATGCGTGCACGTTTACGACAAATTAGATTCAATTTAAGTAGTACTACTATTGTTTAGATAAGTAGCTGAACCATGAGGAGATGATCGTGGATGATAGCTGTATTTCTTTTTTTCCTTTTTTTTTTTAAATGACATTTATTTTATAGATGATGATCTTCTTCATCTTGCATCATCATCTTCAGACACACGTGCATTCTAAAAATCACGTTACAGTTGTGGTCCATCACATTATTACTTAAGCCCAATAAAATTAAAAGCCCATTAGAAACCCACTTGAAATAATACTCTCGATTCGGCGGAGACTCCAAGTCTCGTCGACATCAAAACAGATTCTCCGGTGGTTTAGCGATGTGCGAACCACATTGGTGGTGTATCTAAAAACATATTGGCACTTCTTTATAAATTTACGGAATTCAATCTCACGTTTCTTTTTGTGTCAGTCTCACAATTTTTCAAGAGAGAAAGACACTTATTGAGAGCAAGAGAAGCTGTAAAACGAAGGAAAGATGAAGGCGTTAGGGTGTTGGTTAATGGTGGTTGGTTCTCTGAGACTAGCTTCTGTTTGGTTTGGTTTCTTCAACATTTGGGCTCTTCGTCTCGCCGTCTTCTCTCAGACCACCAGTTCAGTTCTTCTCCCCCTCACCCTTTAATCTACATTTCTTCAAGTTGTTCTTAATTTGATTCTGTGATTGGATAACACTGTTTTTTTTGGCCCGAACGATCTAATGGGTAATGTTAAGAGTCTGTGTACTCTCTTTAGTTTGTTACTCAGTTTCTCTGAGCTTCTTCTAGTACCAGTTAGTCAAATGGCTATAGAGGGGACATGTTGTTTATAGGAGAAATGATAATGTCAGGTCCAAAGGAACATTTTTTGCGAGATTTTAGATTCTTTTTCATTTTTTTTTTGTGTGTAACTTGAACGAGTGTTGAGTCTTCCAATACGGATTGAATTTGGGATCCCTAAGCTTTGAGATCTAGAGATGTGATGATGAATTAGAATATGAGTTTCTTTTTCTTTCCTGGATTTGATCTTGATTCTTGCTAGTAGTACATTGCATTTATAAAGTCAATGGTTTATGAATCATACAGTCAACTTGACATATTTAGGAATTAGGATTCTTTGAACATATTCATCTTCTTTTTTTCGGCTGTTCCTCTTCCTGTGTTCTTTTAATTACCAAGTTGAGGTAGTTGGGGTTGAAAGCAATGCTTTATGCATTAGTACTAAAGCAAATTGAAGCAATATATCCAAGAAAGTTATGCAATCTTATATGTTCTTCTACTCGGAACCTTTGAAGAAGTTGACCACCATGCCCTGAATGTCAGGAAGGGGGGGGGTTTAATACATGGATTCAGAATTCGGTTGGTTTTGATAATAGTTTACAGAGTCCAATGCATAACTTTTTTGTTCTGCGGATCAACATGCAAGTTTTCTTTGAACTAAATCAGTGTCCAAGTGAAGTGTATCAGATGTATTAGAACATAAGCAACTTGATGCATAACGTAGATGCATTAGATAATAAGCAACTTGATGTTTTTCTTTTCCTTTTGTAACCTTGTGTTGTGTGACGTTGCCAGCTTGCAGTAATAAAGAGAGTGTTATGAAACATTTTTCTTTTTCATGTGATTGTAAGGTCTTGTAGATGTTTAGTTTATCAAATCAGATAACACAAACTAACTAACTACTGGACGATTTGGGGAATAAATATAAATCAGATAACACAAACTATTACAATTTTGTATCGTAATAGCAACCTGAGAACCGAAAACAAAAAGGATTTATCTAGAAAAGACTAGTTTACATAGTTGAAATCTTGTGTTTTTGGTTTCACAAAAGTCTTGTCCTGTGACTTAAAATGTTATTTTTTGTTAACTGTTTTGCAGTGAGTGAAGTTCATGGACGTACATTCGGAGTATGGACACTCTTGACCTGCACTCTCTGCTTTCTTTGTGCTTTCAACCCCGAAAACAAACCATTATACTTGGCTACCTTTCTATCATTTATCTATGCCTTAGGCCATTTTCTGACAGAATACCTCTTTTACCACACGATGACCATCGCAAATCTCTCAACTGTGGCCTTCTTTGCAGGTATATGATCATCACTCACTCTTGTATTAAATTATTCGGTGTAGGTTGCATTCATTGTGCGAATGATCTAAATACTACATTTTTTCAACAGGCACATCAATTGTGTGGATGCTCGTGGAGTGGAATTCCCTTGAACAACCGCACACCAAACTTTCATGATGTTACTTGTTAATCCGAATGCCTGCAACTGAGTCTTTCTCCTTTTAAACTTTTCTAAAAGTTGGAATCATCTGTGAGTTTTTGCTCGATTCCTAAAGCTGTTGATCACTGTTTCATCTCAATCTTTTTTTACATCTTTGATGGAGTCTTGAACCTGATATCTGGTCCGATTGATGTATGAGAATACTATAAACTCATGGATTTTCACTGCTTTTGAAACAGAGATTTGAATTTAGTGTATTAATACATTTAGTAGATTACGAGTAAGTAATAATATATGGTGGTAAATAGAGTCAACATGGAGAAGCCTCTCTTTGGGTAGAACATGTAACTATTTCTTGCATTCCTTTTATTGTGATAACCAAAATAATTCTATATGTCATTTTCTGGTAACTAAGATGACAAAATCTTGTTAAGACGACTGATATATTTCCCTCTGTAAATGTAGCTTGTGAGGAACCCACCATCTTCCAATCATTATTTCAACCCTTATGGCTCAAAATTGTCAATCATGTGTTGTATAACATCTGCTCCAGCTGAATTGATCATCTTTGTTTTTACCTGTAATTTGGGTACGAAAGTTAATATTAATAGCAGTGATGATGATAATGACAATGCCATGATGATGATATTGACAAAGGCATATTAAAATGGTGATGCTAATGATGTTTATGATGTGAAAACTTGCCTGAATGGTATTGTGAGCGAGAAATCTTTGCAGGGTTCCTCTGAAACTAACATCGACTCGTTCCCAGCTTACTTTTGTTAATTCTCTTATCATCTCCTCTGCAAAAAAGTGCTATTACGATGATGGGAAATACAGATAATAAACCCGAGAGTGAGAAGTCAATTTTACACTGAACTAACCTTCCATATCGAAATTCTTGAACTCATTTGGATTGCTCTCTGATTGATCTTCCTCATGCTTACTTGCAGTATCCGGCGGTTCAATGTTCACAATGTGAGGATATTTCTCGTTGACTGGACCGCGTTGAAGCTGTGAAGGCCAGAGGTGAGACTGATTCAGCATAACACACACCATAACGATATCAAACACTAAAAGGCTATTACCTTAGGAAGCTCGTTGCGACGTCTGATTGACGATGTGCTCCACCCCACAAGGTCTAAGAACAAGGGAGGTTAAGGTTTCATATACTTGGCAATAGCCACAACACAGTTCTGAGTCTTTTTTTAGCTTAATTCACATTGTAAGATATTTGAAGTAGTGAAATAGTTTGTAGGGGCCTACGAACAAAAGGATACGGTCGAAACTTGTATTCGCGTAAGCAATACGCCGCTTGAAGCAATGCAAAGCAGAACTGTTCCAAAAGTAGAGGAGGTGTTATAACAATAACCTTAGAACTCATTTCAACTATGCATAGCCTCAATAATATGCACTACGAAAAGAAAACGAAACAAAGGAAGTGAAAGAACTCACATGAATTTAAGATCTCTAGAATCACTAACCATTCGGAGGAGTAACGGAGGCTTTCCACCATCACTATCAGCCAGAAAAAGGTGTTTTCCCGTTTTACCAAGACACCAGGACATACGCTTAGCTAACCTCTCCAACGTGTGAGATCCAGAAAACAATGGGACCTAATGCAGTAAAAAATGGCACACCATAAACCAAACTGTAAGTTTACATGTTGCAAAATTACATACAACATCAAGCTTACAGGAAAAGGAGACATAAACAAAGCATTAAAGTCTAATTCATAGAAGAGACAAATGCATAAGAACAATTTAGATCTCTGCTCTGCTCTAAAATACTGATAGCGTATTCAAGTGAAGTAAAGTAAGATAGAAGTGTTCCCAAATCACCTGCTTATGTCCTCTTGAACCAAGGTGTGGCGTTGCAGAAGTTATAAAATACATAGGCTCCAATCCAGCGATTCTCTCTTTGGCTTCTTCAATCGGGCATGTATCACCAACGTCGTCACTGTTTTGCGGAAGCTCTTCTCGGGATTCTTGCTCGTAAAGACGCCCGATAGCATACCTAGCAATCAAGCCACCTAAAGAATGTCCTACAAAGGAGATCTTCTTGAGACTTGGGTGACGTTTGATCACTGACCTAACCTAAACAAAAGAGACTAAGAATATTACTTGAGCTGAAAAACTAACGCAAAGATAAAGATAGTAACTTGTACACAAAAGGATGTGGCATTGTGAAAACATCTTAGCCGAGAGGAAGACAGAATAACATGAAACTGAAAGAACGCTGCAAGATTAGCAGGCTTGAGACAAGAACAAATACCTCTTCAGCTAACCTCTCTCCCATAACATCAACACCATCAAATGTCTGTGTAGAATGGTTGCGTTTACTGCCTGCAATGATTGTAAAGTTATCCCAAGCCACGGTGACAACTCTGTTCGATTGCAAAAATAAAAATTTTACAGAGAGAAAAGAACTCACAGTGAACGAGGAGATCCTGAGGATACTTTTTGAGCATCTGCTTAGCGGCGAATCTCCAATTCTGAGCACTGTACCCCAAATATTTTTTTGAATAAATCAGCTTAAAAAACCGAACAGAATCAAGCAACAGAACAAAGAACCTTCGTCAGAACCTGCCAATGAGACCATTGACCATGACGACTAGGTGAGTCGGCTCAGTACGTTCGCCAGGGAAATCAACAGTCAAATCGACGTTTCCACTCTCGTCCGATTCAGCTCTGAGACAACCCATCCAATACTTGTTGTTCTTCTTCTTCGTCTCTTTATCACCACTCTTTCCGCTTCTCATACTCTTCATCTTCATCTTCTTCTTTGACACACCACCGCTTCCTTCGAGATTACTTCCAACTCGCTTATCTTCTTCTTCGTTGTTTCTTGTGATTGAGCTATCCTTTTTCTCCATGATACGAGAAAACTCAATGAAAAATGGAAACTTTGCGCAAGATCAACCAAATCAAAGGTTTGGGAAGATTCTCTAGGTCTCACGTGGGTGGGTGCTTTTTAAACTTGAAATATCAAAACTGGTCAGAGAGAGAGAATAGTTTCAGTCGTTATAGGAAGAAAGGTCCCCCACAGTATTGTTGTCGTCGCCATTGACATTTCTTTTCTCAGCACATCTGAGATTTGTCACTGTTGCTTTTTCTAGAACAACATGTGTAATAACATGTTTTTTTAAAAAAGTCATTAAAGTTTGCTAGATGAGCCAAAAAATATGCTATTTAAAAAGCATATTAAGACCTAATTAATGACGACACTGATTTATTTATTTATTGACAATTATTACTTAAAAAGATAAGCCCGGCCCAATTAGTTTCAAGTATTGGATTTGGACCCCCAGTGAAGGAGCTTCATGAGTTTCTCTGTTGTTTGATTCATGATCTGGAAGAGTCAAAACAACAAAGTTGACTTTGTTTATGAGCATTGAGCAAGAGCAACCCAAACGTCGAAAACAAGACAAGACTCTTAATCAAAAAGCATTGAACAGAGAAGAATCAAATTTCCAAATGGGGAAGCTAGCAAAACAATTAATCCGATGAGACTGTTTTACCTTTCTTCTCCCAAGTCTTGCTGATTGATGTTTGTTGGACTTCTCCTTCTTCAACTATCCACCTTCGTCTTTCTTCCTTCTCCTCTCTCCTCTTCTTTCTCGATCAAAGGTGAGATTTTTAATCTACTGATATTTTTTTGGGTTGACCCATTTCACCAATTTCGTATTTTCATCTAGTTCTGTTGATTTGAATGATATATCTGCATTTAGATTGATTTCTCGTATACTCAACATTTTCAGTACAGGCAACGCTCATGGGCATGGCGGATCCTAATATCGTTGTGAACGGTGACTTCTCTGCTGGGACTGAATCTTGGTATCCTAACGGATGTGAAGCGTTTGTTGTTTCTTCTGATCCATTTATCTCAGAGGCAACGTCTGCTGAATCCTCGAGCGGTGGGTATGTCGTTGTTACTAATAGGAAAGACACTTGGCAAGGTCTTGAACAAGACATTACATCCCGAGTTTCTCCTGGAACTACTTATACTGTATCAGCTTGTGTCGGTGTGTCTGGTGCTTTCCATGAATCAGCTGAGGTTCTTGCTACTGTGAGGCTTGAGCATGAAGCCTCGCCTACCGAGTATTTGTTCATCGGGAAGTACGTTTTATATGGTTATATCTTTGGATTTTGGATATTTGATTGAAGTTTTGCAAAGATTCCTGATGAATTGGAACTTACTTGCAGAACATTTGCCTCAGGAGACAAGTGGGTTGATCTTGAAGGAACGTTTTCCATATCAAATATGCCCGACCGTGTTGTTCTCTATTTGGAAGGTCCAGCTCCAGGGAAAGATCTACTTATACGCTCAGTTACTGTTAGATCATCCACTACAAGTGATTTCCAGGTATAACTGCCTTACCAGCCATTGTCCTTTGCTACTTGGCAATTTGAATGCAAGGCGATTATTAGAGAGTGATAGGTGTGTTATTAGAAACTGAGATCAAAGTTACTATAATGCGTCCAAGGTTTAAACATTATTTGCCTTTCTGGTTTTTCGATCATGAAGTTACACTTTCATTAAGCATTATATAGCTCACCGGGATCATCTGATTCTAAACTTTGTATTTCAGTTTACAAGAACCAGTGAACTTAACAACTCTTGTTTTAATATTTTCTTGTGGCTTACTATTTCACTACAGTATACCAAAGAAAACACAGAAGCTTCCAGTGGCTTTCCTCCTGCTTTGAATATCATCAAAAATCATGACTTCTCTGATGGGTTGTATTCTTGGAATGCCAACAGTTGTGATTCATTTGTTGTTAGTAGCAACGACTGTAACTTAGAATCATATGCGGTTGTTAATAACCGAAGCGAAACCTGGCAAGGACTGGAGCAAGATATCACAGACAGAGTTTCTCCTGGCTGTTCATATAAAGTCTCTGCTAGTGTTAGTGTATCAGGACCTATTCTTGGGTCGGCGCAGGTCTTGGCCACTTTAAGGTTAGAGCATCAAAGCTCAGCAACGGAATATCAAGGAATTGGAAAGTAATGAACCACACTATTTCTTTGTTATATATATAGTCAAGAAGTCCCAAAATGTTGATGATAATGTTTTATCTGCAGAATTTATGCTTCGAAAGATATTTGGAAAACTCTGGAAGGCACTTTCCTACTGTCAGGAAGACCTGACCGAGTTGTATTCTTCTTGGAAGGGCCATCTCCTGGGATTGACCTTCTTATAAAGTCCGTCACCATTCATTGCGAAAGCGATAATCAGTTTGAGGTAATGTGACACATTGTGGACTGTTAAATATAGAGACCGAAAGTTCACTTACATCATCAATCTATTATCTGATACTTAGTTTCTTCTTAAGATCTTAACATGCTGTTTTCATTGATTGAATTATGTTTCTTTACTTGTCTTACAAGAAGAGAAGCCGAGAATTCTGCCCAGCTCCTGAATATGATCACATCTTCCTGAATTCAAGCTTTTCCGATGGCCTCAATCATTGGTCTGGAAGAGGGTGCAATCTTATGTTGCATGAATCTCTAGCTAATGGGAAGATACTACCGCATTCTGGAACGTGTTTCGCTTCTGCATCAGAACGCACACACAAGTGGAGCGGAATCGAACAGGATATAACTGAAAGAGTCCAGCGAAAACTCATTTATGAAGCATCTTCTGTTGTTCGACTATCGCATAGCCATCAGACTGTGCAGGCCACTTTGTATGTTCAATACCTTGACCAACGTGAAGAGTACATAGGCATTTCCAGGTGAGGTTCGGCATATGGTGTCTCTTTTTCTTATCAACTTTGCTTCAAATGTATTGTCTGATAAAATAATGTTGAAGAAAGTTTGTTTCTTTGTTAAAGTGTTCAAGCACAACACGACGATTGGGTACAGCTAAAAGGAAAGTTCCTCTTGAATGGATCTCCAGCTAGAGCAGTTGTTTACATTGAAGGACCACCACCAGGGATTGATGTTTTTGTCGACCATTTCGTTGTAAAGCCTGCAGAGAAAGACACTCCTTCAAGACGACCATATACTGAGGTTAGACATGTTAACATTTCATGATTTTTAGCATTTACTTTCTTCTTGTGTTTAATGAATCATATGTTGTTTCTATTTTGCTACAGAGTCATGCTTTTGGGATGAACATAGTTTCGAATAGCCACCTAAGCGATGGAACAATCGATGGTTGGTTCCCTCTTGGAAACTGCCATTTAAAAGTTGGAGAAGGCTCTCCTAGGATATTACCTCCACTGGCGAGAGACTCACTTACATCAACACATGGATATCTATCTGGAAAATATGTGCTCGCGACAAACCGTAGTGGAACATGGATGGGTCCTGCTCAGATGATAACTGACAGAGTGGAGCTGTTTCTAACATACCAGGTCTCAGCTTGGGTTAAAATCGGCTCAGGAGGACTTACCAGTTCACAGGACGTAAATATCGCACTCAGTGTTGATGGTAAATGGGTTAATGGAGGAAAAGTTGAGGTCGATGATGGCGATTGGCATGAAGTTGTGGGTTCATTTAGAATCGAGAAGCAAGCAAAAGAAATTATGCTTCATGTCCAGGGTCCGTCTCCTGGTGTTGATCTTATGGTTTCAGGTCTCCAGATTTTTGCTGTTGATCATAAGCTACGGTTGAATTATCTCAGAGGACAAGCTGATGTGGTAACCTATGAAACATATTACATGTTACATGTTTGGAACGAATAAGTAAACTCCACACCAATGCTCTTTCTCTGTTATGCAGGTTCGAAAACGCAATGTTTGCCTCAAATTCTCAGGTTTAGATCCTAGCGAATTGTCTGGCGCAACAGTGAAGATCAGACAGACACGTAACAGTTTCCCACTCGGGTCGTGCATTAGTCGGAGCAATATAGATAACAAAGACTTTGTCGATTTCTTTCTTAACAATTTCAACTGGGCAGTGTTTGGTAATGAGCTGAAATGGTACTGGACAGAGCCAGAGCAAGGGAACTTCAATTACCGGGACGCAGATGAGATGCTAGAATTCTGTGAGAGGTACAACATAGAAACCCGAGGCCATTGCATATTCTGGGAGGTAGAGTCCGCTATTCAACCGTGGGTCCAACAGCTGAGCGGTTCCGAGCTAGAAGCAGCGGTTGAGAACCGCGTAACAGATCTTCTTACCCGTTACAATGGGAAATTTAGACACTACGATGTGAACAATGAAATGCTTCACGGATCGTTCTATCGAGATCGACTAGGCTCTGATGCAAGAGCAAAAATGTTCAAGGCTGCGCACGAGTTAGACCCCTCAGCGACTCTGTTTCTGAATGAATATCACATAGAAGACGGATTTGACTCGAGGTCATCCCCTGAGAAGTACATAAAACTCGTACACAAGCTGCAAAAAAAAGGTGCACCCGTGGGAGGAATCGGGATTCAAGGACATATAACCAGTCCGGTCGGTCACATTGTCCGTTCTGCTTTAGACAAGCTAAGCACACTGGGGTTACCCATCTGGTTCACGGAGCTCGATGTGTCCTCGATAAATGAACATATAAGGGGAGATGATCTGGAGGTGATGTTATGGGAGGCGTTTGCTCATCCAGCGGTTGAAGGAGTGATGCTTTGGGGATTCTGGGAGCTGTTTATGAGCAGAGAACACGCGCATTTGGTGAACGCGGATGGTGAAGTCAACGAAGCCGGGAAGAGGTTTCTTGAGATGAAACGAGAGTGGTTGACTTTTGTGGATGGAGTGATCGAGGATGAAGGAGGACTGGAGTTTAGAGGTTATCATGGGAGTTACACAGTAGAAGTTGTTACTTCGGAGAGCAAGTACGTGACGAACTTTGTTGTTGACAAAGGCAATTCTCCGATTGATGTCATTATAAATCTTTGAGGTTTCATTGTAACTGACAAGTAAAGATGAACGTACAATGGCAAAAAAATGTAAGCCCTTGTCTTTGTTTTCTTGTGGAGATGGCTATACATTACATACATACAGCAGAAATCATCATCTTTCTTCTTTACTTGTGAATTACTACTTATTACTGCCACAAGCAACTTCCCTTTAAGTCGAGGCCCTCCCAGTTCAAGTCATATTGTATGACAAAAATAAATAAAGTACAAAAGAAAGATAATACAACTGAAATCTAACCAATGGAAGACCTCCAAATGTCTAAAAACTTTTTAAGAGTAGAAATCTCAAAAGCAGTCACAGGTAGTGGATGGAAGAATATCAACCGTTGGTTGAGTCAATCATACTAATAAGAGTAATCACGAATGATCCACGCCACCTACAATCTCATACTTGTCCAAACTTCACACTGCATTTACTTCTACTACCATCCTTAATTTGGTTGGCAGATATAAAAGATATATTCAACTTGTTTGGAGTTTTTTCTTTCACAACCACCCCCATGTAAATGTATACTTTCAACTTGGAGTGTATCAAAATCGACGAGACAAGAGTACTAAAATAGGGTTGGGTTATAAAAGCTTCTAGTACAATCCGAAATAGAAACACGAGTAGGGGGGGGGGCTCATTTATTTATTGCTACATCTATTGAGGAAATCAAGATATATATATACAGCATTTAGTTTTCCCGTAGATATTTTATGTGAATAGTGACTATACGCAACTATACACCCATACTTGTTAAAGTTTTCACATTGAATACCATCTAAAACAAAGCACATCACAGATCGTTCCCAACAGTTTTATTTTTTTTTATTTAATTAGTTTGCTATTTGGTTAATGAATTATATAATAGCCATGTTTTTAGGTTATTTAATGAAATAATCATGGCAATTAATATATTGAGTATATGGGGGGGGGCTCTGTCTTTCACGCCTCATCTGTATCAATCAATCTTTTCCCTGTCGCTCACTCTTCGTAGTTTCCCCCAATATATATTTTATTTTGGGTTGGTACTTACGACCTCTCTCATTTGTCATAACTCTCTCTCTCTCTCTACTACTTCGTCGATTTTTGAGTAGTATTAAAGAAGACAGAAAGCAGCTCTCGTACAACATTCCTACACTTGATACTAATTTACATGGCTCTTCTTCGCTGCATACCTCAATCTTCAACTTATCTCCCCAAGGTTCGTACGTTCTTCCCCACAGAGACCATTATTATCATCATACTCTTCTTTTTCTTTTCCTTTTTTTCTTCTCCTACATCGATCAGCAAGGGAACTCAACTATATATATACAACATACATAATTTGATTTCTTTTTTAATTAAAAAAAGATCTCAGAGACATGTTTGCTTGGTTTGAAGATGATACAGATCCGAGGATTCCGAATGCATGGGACCAAGGCAGCAGCTTCTGTTGTAGAAGAACATATCTCGAGGGCAGAACGGTAACGCTTATTACTACACTCCAATCTAATTACAGTGTTTGTCCTCTTTTATTTTCATTGTCACCGCTCTCAGTACTCTGGACAATGGACATGTGCGGGGGAGGTCCGCCCTTTCATTTGAATAGTCTCACTCGGGCAAGAGTGCATGTTTTTTATTTTTATTTTTTTATTTTGTCATGTGTGCATGTAGATTTTAACTTCTTCGATAATGGGTTCTTTCAAAATTAGGATTTTTCTGACTATAGCTGGCAGAGGGTCCTCTTAACTTTTTTTTTTTTAATTATTGAATAAAATCCCTTAAAATTAGGGTCCAATATTTTGTTTTCCCCAAAATATATAGGAAAGAACGGTCCACGTTCAGGGACTTCAATTTACAAGAAAGACGTAAGATACAAAATGGGGAAATTTTTAAAAAATATAAAATATAAAATATATGCTAAAAGTCAACTTCTAAATATATTGTGTGAAGGAATCTCTTATTGACTTATTGTGGTGGTTGCACCTCAAACCTTCATTGGAGTAAAAGATGTACTGTTAGACGAAAAGTGTATTCTCTTTACAGTTTATTGTGATGTTTAAGTTACAAATACAAGGTGGCTGCATGTGTTTTGTAATTTTAAGAGGGTTTGAAAGTTTGACTATATATGTGCTTCACATTTTCAACCATAAAAGTTATAAAGTTACTATTTCGTCTGATATTATAATTAGATAGTCCCTGAACTGGAGGATTCTAGTTAGCATACAGAAAAATGAATCTTCAATAAGCAAACTGTGTATTTCTTGTGTGTTTGCAGTGAGGATGAAGAGTATGCTGATGTTGACTGGGACAACCTCGGATTCAGTCTTGTACGGACAGATTACATGTTCGCCACCAAAAGTAGCAGTGACGGAAACTTCGACCAGGGTTACCTTAGCCGTTACGGCAACATCGAGCTAAACCCTGCTGCTGGAATTCTTAACTATGGCCAGGTAAAGAGCTTTAAATCTCTCTAATTTCCTGGTAATTTAATGGTTTATAAAACGACTTTTCTGGTGGTTTTCCCAAGGGGCTAATCGAAGGGTTGAAAGCGTACAGAGGAGAAGACGGTAGGGTTCTTCTCTTCCGTCCAGACCTAAACGCGATGCGTATGAAGATGGGAGCTGAGAGAATGTGTATGCATTCTCCTTCTGTTCAACACTTTATTGAAGGTGTTAAGCAGACCGTTCTTGCAAACAGACGTTGGGTAATAAAAAACAACTTGATATCTTTTGCTCCTCGACATGAATCTTTGGTTTAGTTTTCTTTAAAGGGTCATGATACTTTTTACATCAGGTTCCTCCTCCTGGAAAAGGCTCATTGTATCTCAGACCGTTGTTGTTCGGAAGCGGAGCAAGCTTGGGTGTGGCTGCAGCACCAGAGTACACGTTTCTTGTGTTTGGTTCTCCTGTTCAAAACTACTTTAAGGTCAGAGTAGCTTCAAAAAGAGAGATTTCTTCTTTCTTTTCAGTTTTTATCACGGAGATCATTATGTGCCTTTGGTCTTGAATTTGATTGCTTGTATAGGAAGGCACAGCGGCGTTGAATCTGTACGTGGAGGAGGTGGTTCCACGAGCCTATCTTGGTGGAACTGGTGGCGTAAAGGCAATTTCAAACTACGGTCCAGTAAGTTTAAACACGCATCCTATTTGGTTTCACGTACTAAGCAAGGTGTTTCGTTCCCAAGTAAGTGTTGTTTTGGCGATAAACTGTAAAAGGTACTTGAGGCGATGAGAAGAGCGAAATCAAGAGGGTTTTCGGATGTTTTGTATCTTGATGCAGAAACTGGGAAGAACATAGAAGAAGTCTCTGCTTCTAATATTTTCCTTGTGAAGGTTCAACAAACACTATTTAAGACTGAAGTTGAATGCTTTTTCTTCTTCTAATGATGGTATTGTATACTAATTGAAGTTTATTGAGTCTCTCAGGGGAATACAATAGTGACTCCAGCTACTAACGGGACAATTCTAGGAGGGATCACGCGTAAGAGCGTCATCGAAATAGCCCTTGATCTTGGCTACAAGGTTAGTAAATAATTCCTCATCTGTGTTACTCTAACGTTGTTAACATCCTAAAGTCAAAAACAGAGCAATACTCTGTTTCAGTTCTTGTGGCAAAATAAATCACATACTTACTGGCTAGTTTCAACTTAAAATTTGATTTCTAGAGATATTTTCTATATTCAAATCAATTTATATATATAGATATCTAAATAAAATACTCCATGGAAGTTTCTAAGAAGTGGTAACGGGCAGGTGGAAGAACGAAGCGTTGCCGTAGAAGAACTGAAGGATGCAAGAGAAGTTTTCTGCACTGGAACTGCCACTGGGGTTGCTTCAGTTGGAAGCATCACGTTTCAGAACACAAGGTCTCTTCTTATTCCCTTTCTCCTCATACATGTATATATGTATATCTGCATATGACTATAAGATTTACACATACATCTGTTGATGAAAATGTGCAGGACTGAGTACAAAGTGGGAGATGCGCTTGTTACACAACAACTTCGATCTATTCTGGTCGGAATACAAACTGGTTCTATCCAAGACACTAAGGATTGGGTTTTGGAGATTGCCTAAGTTTTCTAATAGAAGAATGTTGCACTCTTTGATCACCTATCAAAAGCTTTTGAAACGATTATGATAACCTTATGTTGCAGTTGCATATATAAATATAATCCCTAAGTTCAGCTTAATAACATTTGTTTCACTCTTCGGTAGAGAGAATAAAGCAAAATTGAAGCCAAATTACAGACCAAAATAACATTATTAAAATACCAAATTTTAAGCCCAAAAGGCCCAATTGATATAATCTGATTAAGTTAAAGAAACCCTAATCATGGATGCAATCTCGCGCCGCTGGTTGAGACTTGAGAGTGAAGTGAAGAAGCGGTTTCCGAAGAAGCTCAACTGTATCGAAAATGGCAGAACGAGGTGGTGAACGCGGTGGGGAGAGCGGTGGAGATCGCGGTGGCTTCGGGCGTGGATTCGGTGGTCGTAGTGGTGGAAGAGGTGGTCCGAGAGGCCGTGGACGTCGTGGAGGCAGAGCTACGGAGGAAGAGAAATGGGTTCCAGTGACAAAACTCGGCCGTCTCGTGAGAGACAATAAAATCCAGAAGCTAGAACAGATCTACCTTCATTCTCTTCCTGTCAAGGAGTACCAGATCATCGATCACCTGGTTGGTCCCTCGTTAAAGGACGAAGTGATGAAGATCATGTCTGTTCAGAAACAAACCAGAGCTGGTCAAAGAACGAGGTTCAAGGCCTTCGTTGTCGTTGGAGATGGGAATGGTCATGTCGGATTGGGAGTGAAGTGCTCTAAGGAAGTTGCTACAGCTATCAGAGGAGCGATTATACTCGCGAAGCTATCTGTGGTTCCAGTGAGAAGAGGTTACTGGGGAAACAAGATTGGGAAGCCACACACAGTGCCATGTAAGGTGACTGGCAAATGTGGTTCTGTCACTGTGAGGATGGTTCCTGCTCCTAGAGGTGCTGGTATTGTTGCGGCTAGGGTTCCTAAGAAGGTTCTTCAGTTTGCTGGTATTGATGATGTCTTTACTTCCTCACGAGGATCCACCAAAACCCTTGGGAACTTTGTCAAGGTCTGATTTTTTATTTTCCATTTTTAGGAGAATCTACTAGTTAAGAATTTGGTTAGCTTGACAATTTTGGTTAGTCTTATGGTTGACAATGGCTAGCAGCTTTTGAGCGTCTTTGGTGTGTGAGTGAGCATGAGTAGTGGATTGCTGTAAGACTCTACTCTGCAGCTTAATCAATAGTTCCGTTAGTTAACTTGCTTGCAAATGTTTTCTTTTGCTAAACATGTGTTCTGCTTAGGGTTTCACATGATTAGGGTTTACTCGGCAATATTGTTAGGGACTGTTGTAGTTTACAAAGTCTAGTTCTTCAAGCTTTGAGCCATTTGCATGGCGGGCAGAGATATATTGATTGTCTTTTACCTTTTATCAAGTTAACCAGATTGCCTCGCCTGTTATGATTGATCTTTGTTCTTTCTTTGTTGCACATAGGCTACCTTCGATTGCCTACAGAAGACATACGGGTTCCTTACACCAGAGTTCTGGAAAGAGACTAGATTTTCAAAATCACCGTACCAAGAGTTCACTGATGACTTGGGAAAGCCTTTTTCCTCCAGCACCAAGCTTATCACCGAGGTTGAAGACAAAGTCTAGATTTATAACACTCTTTCGTTTTTTTTTTTCTACTTTATGAATCAAGATCATTTTTTTGTTCGAAACCATGCTTTTACTAGTATAGGTTGCTGGTTTTTTCGAAAATTTTCTGATGAATTTGTCAGAAGACTTACTATGGATCATATCACTAAACGTAGTGGTTGTATTTGCAATAAGCTATAATCAACGGAGAAATGTTTAAGTTGATGCTTCAAAGATGAATCTCCGGTCAAGTCCTTTTTTCTAGTTTTCTTTATTCGGAGAGTTTTCTTAACATACTAATATACTATTAACACAATATAATCCCCAGCTATTATTAAAATTGGACGGCCATGGATTCTGCTTGGCCAAACTCTATTGTCAAAGCTTTTGGTAGAATCTTACAAGAAGAAGATTATTCAATATTCAAGATGCTTTGAATAGACATGATAAATCAGAGTTAAAAGAACTTTCAAAGCAACGAGGTTCGTAGGTGTGTCCACTTGTTTTTATTTATCAACTTTTGGATATATATTATAAGAAAACTAACGGAGGGGTGTGAAGAGTGTACTAAGAGACGAAGACACTAATATATACGACGACGATATTGCAAAAGGGACACATACTCAAACTCAAGCAAAAACGTTGTTATCGGATAAAGAAGCTCACGAGTCACGTCTGACGTGGCTGTCTAACTCCACAACGTGTTTATTTCCTATTCGGGTAGTTGTTATAGCTAGGACGAAGACGTTGAGTTAAAGTTGTTATCCGACAAAGACCTCCTGGATCTAACGTGTCTATCACATCTCTCGTGTTTACTGTAATAACAGTAACCTTGGATCAATCAATATACTGTATCGAGAAAAATACACACGAGATAGAATATTTGTATCAATAATTTTGGTAATTGCGTGCCAAAGAAAAACTTTGCTAAATTGATATTTATACCTACTTACAAAAGTATACATACTGTTCAAAGATAGGATTTGAAGGTAGACCACAAAACAAAAGCTCTTCCTTTACCTTACACCATTAAAACGAGAAAAAGGACCGTTAATTTCGTTAAAAGCCTAGTTTCAGAGAGACACGTCTAGGGTAGATCTGCTCAGGGCAGATAGACACAAGTGACGAAGCAAATAGCAAAAAAAAATACTATTAATAATAACACCAAAAACAAGATAAGAACTCTTACCAATTTCCAACTCAAAAAAAAGATAAAAAGAAAAAAAAAATTATAAAAAAACAAAAAAGTTCAACGATTTGCACATTCACATATTGCAATCACTTACGTGTTGGATACTTAATTTGACACTGTTCTTCGTGTTTTCTTCGGCCACCTTCTTTTTCCTGCTTAAATCATTTTCAAGAAAATTCTCTCTTTGTTTCTTTATATAATTGTTGTGTAATTTGTTATATTAAATCAATAGAATTTTACTTCACAACCAAAACAGAGGGCTCTGTAATCGTGAAGATGATCAAAGCATTCTCATCTCTACGCAAAAATTTGGCTCTACCTCTTCATTTACATATTCGTACGGTATAAACTGACAAAACGGTCTTGTTTTTACAATCTAATGTTTCTTACCCAGACAAAACTCATATCTCATATGCAACATGTTTTTATGTAATTTTTTTTTCTTTTTCCGATGAGACACAGCTACAGACTTTCGCCAAGTACAACGCACAAGCTGCCACGGCCTTGAGAGAAGAGCGTAAGAAACCTATTTATCAGTAAGTTTTATGATTCAAGAAACTCATGTGAAAATTGCCTTTTACCATTTGAAAGCTCTGTTTCTATAGTTGTTGTTTTTGTATTATATAGAAATGGGGATGATGAGTATGCGGATTTGGATTGGGATAATCTGGGGTTTGGTCTAACTCCAGCTGATTACATGTATGTCATGAAATGCTCAAAAGACGGTGCATTTACTGAAGGAGAAGTTAGTCCCTATGGAAATATTCAGCTAAGTCCTTCTGCTGGAGTCTTAAACTATGGACAGGCAAGGATTTTGTAAACCCGTATGTTTCTTGATTTTTCTCTGGAGTACTGTCTGACCAATGGACGTTTTGGGATTATCCGTAGGCGATATATGAAGGTACAAAAGCATACAGGAAAGAAGATGGGAAGCTTCTTCTTTTTCGCCCGGATCAAAACGCTATCCGAATGAAGCTTGGTGCTGAACGAATGCTCATGCCTTCTCCTTCAGTTGATCAGTTTGTTAATGCGGTTAAACAAATCGCTCTCGCCAATAAACGTTGGGTAAAATATGTTTTCTTGTACCAAATTCTGAAGAGGTTTGTTATGGACTTATGGGATCTAATGAGTGATGTGTTTGGTCAGGTTCCTCCTACAGGGAAAGGGACTTTGTACATTAGGCCTCTGTTGATGGGAAGTGGTCCTATTCTTGGTTTAGGCCCTGCACCTGAATATACATTCATTGTCTATGCATCTCCAGTTGGTAACTACTTCAAGGTATATATATTTCTCTTTAGGTCCAATATTTTTTGCGATGAGAACGACTAGCAAATGTTTTCTTCACTGGTCTGTAGGAAGGGGTGGCTGCTCTTAACCTCTATGTTGAGGAAGAGTATGTCCGTGCAGCTCCTGGTGGAGCTGGAGGGGTCAAGAGCATCACAAATTATGCCCCAGTAAGTGCTGAAACCAACTTTATTAGTTTCATAGTCCTGTGGCAAAAAAGTTTTGATAAACCATATATGTGTGTGTAGGTTTTGAAAGCACTGAGCAGAGCCAAGAGCCTCGGGTTTTCAGACGTTCTTTATCTTGATTCTGTCAAGAAGCAGTATCTAGAGGAGGCTTCTTCTTGCAATGTCTTTGTTGTGAAGGTATATATAGATATATCGAGGTGTTTCCAGTATAGTCTCTTTGTTGCATCCTAATTGTATCATTGATTGATTTAGGGTCGAACAATCTCAACTCCTGAAACTAATGGAACAATTCTTGAGGGTATTACGCGGAAAAGTATAATGGAGATCGCAAGTGATCAAGGTTATAAGGTAATACAAGATCGAACTGTTTCACACTAAACAACCAAATACTAAACTTGGTTAAGTTTCACACTTAGAGTTATGAAATCAGGTAGTAGAGAGGGCAGTTCATGTGGATGAAGTAATGGATGCAGATGAAGTCTTTTGCACCGGAACTGCAGTAGTAGTTGCTCCTGTAGGCACTATAACATATCAGAACAAAAGGTAAGAACTCATGATGCATAGATCAAGTTTTACTCAACACTTTTAAGCAAATATTTGGACTGATGTAATATTTCTGAAACATTCAGGGTAGAATATAAAACCGGGGATGAATCTGTCTGCCTGAAACTGCGTTCCATCCTTGTCTCTATCCAAACAGGATTGATAGAAGACAACAAGGGATGGGTCATGAATATCAACTGAGAAACCAATATTCAAGGAGATTACTTTGCATTTTAAGCTGTGTATACACAAAAATGAAAACACTTTTATGTACATTTATATACGAGACAGAAACAGGCTCTTTTGCCCTTTCTATTTAGTAATATCATTGTCCTTCACAAAACTACTCTAAAAGAATCTTCGAGGTGTACAAAAGTGTTTCCGGGCATAGTTTCATTTCCTCCTGCAGTAACTATAAAATTCACATTTCACTTTAGCAGACAGAACTGTATATGTTTCCATGGCTTCCCCACTTCTTACTTTCATCACCCATAAAGGTCTCAACTTCTAAAATTGTAACTCAATTCTGAAAACTTTTTCTTCTGCAGAGTCAAGCATTCATTGTAGCTCAAAGTATTTTTAAGTTCGTTTGTATATCTCAGCAAATGCCGGAGAATAACGATTTGGTGAAGCACTGGGACAGGATTTCACCTCAAGATCATCACCATATTTACTTCTCTGGAACGCCCATATGTATTCGGCTTTAAGATTCTCTTTCTCAGGCTTTAATTGTTCAGAATCTGGTAACTCCTGATCTGAACGAGGTGAACTGCAACAAGCTTTGCTCGATTCCTGAGAACACGATGGTATCTGAGAGTATGCAACTTTCAAGTTGTTATGTATCTCTTCCATCTTTCCTGACACCTCATCTGCTCGGTCCATAGCGATAAGAATCTGAAAGAAACTCACACGTCAAGATCTCCCAGGAGATGCAAATCGAGGTTAGGAAAAAATGGTGGGGAATATATGTACCTCGGCTGGATATTTCTGGAATATGGGTGCAAACCTCTGCCGACAATACTCACTAAACAGAAGAGTCAGAAGAATTAATGGAATGGTGAAACCTGAAGCAACTGTTGATAGCTTTAAACCAAAAAAGCCTAGAGCAATAACTTGGGACAAGATCAGTGAAAAGATTGTCGTGTTGTGAAAGACAGGCCAATATTGTCCACCACTTTCATATTTTGTAATATAGACGTTGATTATCTGCAAAGTAACGAAAGTATATAGTCGTATTAAAAGGGCTGGGTTAGTGCAGAACAGCTACTTAGTAATCAATCACCACGGATTAAGGTGTCTATGTCACAACTTCTTGAAGTGCTTCTACAAAAAGAGGTGTACATATAAGAAATCAGGGCAGATATGCCTCTTTCACGTACCTGATTTTTGTATATAAGATATGCGAGGAAAAAGTAGATCAACAGGAATGGCAGTATTAGAGGCGCTATGACTGAATTGGTGAATCCCAGGAGCCCGAACAAGAGTAGTCGCGGAATTTCCGTATGGTACGGAAACCTAAGTGTTTCATACGAGGCCTCCTTGTTCTTGATAATAACTTTTGATATCAGGTTCCAGATTAGACCAACAGGTTGCATGATTTCACATGCCAAACCGGCCCAGCCAGACGTGAAACAATAGGTCATGAAGAAGCCAGCCTGCAGTCAATGAATATTTTCTTACTGTTAACATTATAGATAATAACAAACATAGATACACTCAGAAGTGTAAAAGGAACACCTAAATTTACCTGTGCTGGAACTAGTTTCGCAAGTTGTGCAGGTATGTCCCTCACACTAGACAAGACGCTTAATTGCCTGATAACAGAGCCTGATAGAATGTTGACGAAAAACACATTCCAGATGGTGAAGTATAAAACTTTAATACATGCACTTTTCTTTCTTAGACTCCGAGAAACACATCCCTCCAAGGTTGAAAAGTACATCATCAATGGTGGAACGGCAGTAAGGAATAGTACCAATATCACACTTGGTAAGTACCCTGTGATGACCTGGTTTATAAAATTCCTCCTGCAATGTTTTTCAAAGAGATGATTAGATTGACATGTAATGAAAACAAATTGATTACATAGACTCTTCTTGCTCTCTTTTTCTGCGCTTTTGGATCTAGAAAAATCTTGCATAAAGAGATCAACTGTCTAGCCGCTCTGATTGTACGCCTCTTGCAATTCACTATAAGCAACGTAGCGACACCTACTCTTTGGTGCCAACTCTATGTCATGTTTGGAAGAATACGAACAAGAACCTTCTATTACTGAGTACACAAGTAAGGAAACTGCAAGATACTCACTTGTTCAAGAGGTCTTTTAGGAAAGGGAAATTCTTGGATAGCGTCTTTAGTTGAGTCAGCCCTTGAACAAAGGTAACAGGAAAAAGAAACACAAACATGAAGGCAATAGCACCAACAAGGGTTGCTATTCTTCGCATCCAAAGTTGCCGATAAGGTATTCTGAGATTCCTCCAATGAACATCATGAGGCTCTGGAGCTAAGTCTGCCACCCATAACATAGGATTTGGTGTTTGAAGAACCTCCGAAACGACAAGAGCATCATAACGACTCTTGAAAAACACAAACGCAACAGGACGTTCCTGCAAATGAGAATTAAAAAAGCCTTAGATACACATTTCACGCGCTGACACTATGACTAAACCAGATAACAGGTAGAAACCACACACAATGCCTAGAATTCCTTACTTCCTCAGTCGTAGCCAAAGTCAACTCACCAAGCTCCAGTGTTTTCGCATCGTCTGCCTCGTTAGAGAGGATTTGAAAAGAATTTGTGGCTGCAGGCCCACAAAAGGTGCATGACTTCAAGCTCGGGTTACAACTTAAATCAGGAGAAACATGTTTTATAGCCTGACACATCCTCTCTGTTTCATTCTGAAATAGAAAATTGACATTATTAGAATCTAATTAACTCAATTATGCTCCAAAATAGATCACTGCACTTCAACTATATGTTATCACGATCACACACCATCGACATGTTGTTTACCAAGTTTGTTCCATTCAAAATTCTAATCAGATAGCCAACAAGAAACTAATGTAACATCAAAGGAACCTCAATATCATAAAAAATGCTACCATTGAAAAACTAAATTAGTACTCAAAGAATATGCATCAAAATTATAATCCACTTCCTATATCTTCCTACATCAAGAATACACATGAAGTGGGTTTTTTTTGGTTATAAAGGATGAAACATGGTAAGTGTGAAAAAGGTTAAATCACATTCCTTGACAAAGAGCAATAGCTTTGTTATTTTCTTCTAGAAGAGTCCTATTTTAATATGGTCAACCTCGCTGAGATATTAGATGGAAATTTTATTTCTAATCCGACAGAAAACTCAAAACCAAAAAAAACAAGTAACTGATAATCAAGTCAACATGTTGCATGAATAAATCAAAACACATACCTTCATCCTCTGAATGAACCCATCACGGTAGACCATTAGGTGCGACACATAGCTTGGTGCATAGTAATTTGTGAAGTAATTGCTCACTGTTTCGCTGTAGGACTGCTCAGGAGACTGAGGAATAGCACGAATAAGAACAGTAAAATGGCTTGGCTTTGAGGCAGATTCAGTAATATGGGCAAGCCTCCTTTTGGTTATGTTCTTATACTCCTACAGTGGCAAAACACATATAAACAGAGTGAGAGAGAGACCAAAACGAAATGATGGAATAGCGAAAATCAGAAAGCATCACATGAACCAAGGTGTAAGATTCTCACAAAGTAAAGAAGAGCACATGCTGCCGAGGATATGATGTACAATGAGAGACAATGAACCCACAGCCTGGAAATAAAAAGAGGGAAACTAGACTCAGCATTTTGCTTTCACTGAACAGAATACTGGTAGCGTATCTATTTAAGAAAACTATTTGTGAAATGCCACCATTTAATCTCCTGCACAGAAACATAATCAGGTAGAAAATAGAGGCTATGCATATTATCTGACAATATTAGTGAGACATGCTGCCAGTTTACCATCGTGAGCGTTGGTCAAGGTTCTCAATTGTGAATACGCCCAGCGACTCCAAATGGACCTCCTTGTGCTCCATCTTTTGTCCATAATAGTTAACAGGCAGAACAAAGGCAATGCAAACGACTGCAACGACTGAGAAAATACGAATGCTGCAGAGTTAAAAGAAGAAAGATAAACCAACCGTGAGAGTTGTTCTTAACAAAACATACACTAACACCACAAAGAAACAAAACACGTGCTAGATCGTAGAAGAAGAAGAAGAAGAAGAAAAACACCATGTATATCCATTCAATTACAATAAAACCTGAAAAGCAAGTTTTTGGTGAAGTATCATTAACCTGCAAATGACCATTCTGATAAAAACCACAGCATCCAAACCAGCAGCAGCCAACATCTCGTCCTCAGTAGTTTCCCAAGCTTTCAGGATCCAACTTGGAGAGGGTGCAAACCTCTCATACCAGTGAGGATCATGACGTTTAACTCTTCCGCTAGAAAGCATTCGGCCAAAGTAAACACAATAATTGGCTGGCTGCTTTCGGAGAATGGAATAAAGGGATACAAGGACGATGCATATCGCAATATTAATCCCAGCAGACGTTAAAAGTGCAGAGATATCCATCTCAGTTTTAGTTCAAACCCTGCCTTACTAAAAAGTGAAGGCAGAGAAGAACATAATAGCTGATCAAGCGCAGGAAGATGGAAGACTAAGAACAATGCACAGCAAGAACGTAAGTCGTCAAAAGATCTGTAAGGAAAAACAAAAATTGGATAGAACAAAATAGTTAGGAACGTAGAAAATTAGAAAGCTTTGCAATCTAAAGCAGAAATATCTAGGATGCTTGAAAGAGATATAGTCATGAAGCAAGTAGTAATGTTGAAACAGAGAAATCTATCAACTAGAGGCAGGAATTGTAATTTAACCTAACATATACTTATTAAGTTGTTGTGATTAGGGAGTGATATAAAAAGGTGCAAAAGTAACGTAACCTCACACTTTTATCAGTTGTAAAACACCAATTATTAGGAGAAAAAGGGCAGGAACAAAAATTGAAAAAGCCGAAAACTTTCCACGTTCGGAGCAACCTAAGACCGATATCAAAAAGTCTAATTGAACTCTCTAAAGTTGCGGTAAAAGCAGATGATAAAGACTATCTAACCTCTCATCATCTTCTATGATAGACTAACGCAACCCACAATTTCATAGAAGCAAAAAAAAAAAAAAAACAACAAGAACACACCATGAACAGGGGAATCGAAGAAAAACAACCATAGTTTGATTCGCGCCATGAACTCTCAATACACCAATCAAAAACCAAAAAAAAAAAAAAAAACAAACCCAGATGATGAGATTGGATCGAAATTGCAAAAGAGTTTGAGGTGAATCAACAAACAACGAAAATTGTAAGACAATTCTCCAACAAAGTTATACAGAAAAAAAAACCCGAAAATAAAGAAAATTTCTGACTCACATGGACGAAAAGGTAATGCTTTGCTTTGACTTGGAAGGAATCGAAAACCCGGAGGAGAATCAAAAACCCTAACTTGTTGCTTTTTAACCAACCCAATCCCGCTGAGAATTCGCTTCTTTTTTTTCTTTTGCAATTTGCACAAATTAAATAAAATCTACAAATTCAAACTTATTAATTGTTTTTTGTTTTTTTCTTTTTCAAAAGGAGAGATAATGTTCTGATTAGATGAAGATTTTTATTTAATTTTGGGTCTAATTACTTTAGAGGGAAAAAGGAAGAGGATAACTGAAAAATACATATATATGTATATCATTATTGAAAGAAGAATTCCACGTTGGGTGTTGTAAATTGCCAGATCATCTGACGTGGCGTAACAACAATGGCCTCAAACTAGTATCACGTCGGTAAAGGACATAATAATACCCTGCGATGGTGACTACCTTGTCGGCGAATTTTTGTCCGTCAGATTTTAACCAAATCCACTCGATTGTTACACGTGGAATTTGAAAACGACAGTTAAAAACAGTTTCTCTTTTTTTGCCCGGGAAAATTGAAAAGGTAGCATACATCTCTCTAATCCCCTGTATGATCCGCGTGGTTGAAGTGTGACAGTGAGACCCATTACAAGGACCCGTCTCATTAAATATTCCCCATTTGACTATAATAGCTTGATCCCTTTTATACATGCTTTATGAGGTATGCTTTTAACCGATTTGGTAATCTCTTTCGCTGGTCAACAACAATAATATTACAACTTTCCAAAATACGTATTACTACTTTTAATCTTTACTCAATTTGGAAGCTTAATTTGTTTTTTCGTCCTTTTTAATCATAGGTTTGGTTATACCATTACCATCACTCAAAGACTCTGCAAAATACTTCATAACGGAGATTTGTCGGTTAAATTCTTCATTAATCAACTTAGATTAAGCTATTGTCGGCAGAGGCAAAAAAAAAAAGTCAAACAGATTCTGAGACATGGTTTGACAACAATTTACGCAGAATGCAGTCTTTCTTCCAGCTATTAACGTAAATGTGGAGAAAAGATAATTGTATTTGAAATCTCAGAAGAATCTTCAGACATTCACCAAATGAAGCAAAAGTGATGGTCTCTCTTCACCTATTATGCTCAGTAAACACTTCACTTTCTCTCTTCCCAGCTTCTCCTCGAGCATTCTCCACAATTCTGGTATTTTCTGCTCACAAACGAATGCACATAGCATAAATCAATGAATTCATCAAAGTAAAATAACTCTCAAAATATAAAAAGAGGAAACGTCTCAGGTCCACCATATTTATATCATTCTGCTATACGGAATACTCTCAACCTATTCTTGGATTTTTCTGCACTTATGTGATTGACAATAACGGCAATTTTTTTAATGACCACTGTTACCTTTGTCAGCCATAGCATATAGGCAACAGCATGCAATGCTTGAGCTTGAAAATCTTCAAATTTGGTATCCGGAACTGTCATACAAGATTCTAGAAGATGGATCTCATTATTGATGAAGTTGGCAATTTCTTCATTCATAATGATACTACTCTCTCCGGGTTCAGGTGAAACATCTGAATGGTTGCAAGCAAAATACATTATCCAATTAAGAGAGAGGAACCGTCGATGAAGCCATAGTGCCTGATAGAAAAAGTGTAAGAACTCAAATAAGTCACTAATTCGAACATCTCCATAGTAGCATGACAACAAACTGTTTAGAAAACTCTCTTTGTCGTCCAAACCACTATCGCAATGATAGCTCACAAAAGAGAAAATCTGTACTTGGGCTACGTTTGCAAAATCCAACCTCGTTGTTCTATAATAGGGGACAATATACAAAATTTAACTTGGTCATACTCTCCTACCAGTCAAACACATTGTTGAATGTATTAGTAGCTTTTACAACAATACAATACAGATATCGATACTAGATCTATATAACATGCCCATCTCTACACTAGTTTATGATTAAAAATCAAAGACAACCATACCTCTCGCCCCACATAACGTTCTACCAATTCTTTGTTCCACACCAGCTCTTCCTGTCATATCCATGTAGCACAAATGTGAAAATAAGATTACCCGGCATAATATTAATGGTACCATAACAGGTATGGGTTAGTAAGGAAGACAAAGCGTACCTTCCAGATTTTATGTGCCTGAGTTCTATCATAAACATTGTTTCCTTTCACATAGAAGAAATCCAAAACCTTGAGCATCAGTCGCTGGACATTAATGAAGAAAAAAAAGTTGAGCTGCATGGAACACTTCACCAGATTCAATGGAAAATGATAGATGTACTTTTTACTTCCAAGACCGAACATAACTTGGAGTGAGTTAGATTGATATATACTCTAGCTTTACCACAATCACGTCAGCTGAATATGTGCGACTCTTACTCTGCGATAATGGAAGCAAGAACTATCGGCTACATGAAGCCCTGCCCACCCTTTAGATTTGTTCAACTCTTGTATCACCTGGAACAGACAACATATATATGTAATCGAAATCACATATCAGAGAAAAACTTATGGTGTATCTTAGACCATATGAAACTTATAGCTAACAAAAGTAACCAATTTAACGAAATCAGAGATTTGTCGCAAAGTTAAGGAAATCTGACCACACAAAATGTTTACAAGTTCAGACAAAATATTCAAAAGATCAAAGATATCTGAAGCAAAGAAATGTAGAAGGTAATTTACCTGCTCAATTGCCATGTAGGAAACCAACCAGCAACGGTGATACCAAGCACGATAATTCATCTTTGATCTCTGCAAAAAGCATGTATTTTGGTTAGGAGCATAGTAAGTGGTTGTCTGTCATAGTAGTAGGAATTGTAAGGAATGGACTTTGAGGATCAACAAATAGAAATCTTGGAGTGATAGAACGTTTAGTATATACACAATAGCTAAACTGTGAAGACTAGGACAAAGCAATATTTATTTCATGAGCTATATGATGAACCTTCATTAGTTAAAATCATCAAATCTAGAAGTAAACCTCGCCTATTGATTCCACTAACTCAGATTCTTTGGTTATAATCTCTTGTGGTGTAGAAAATCTCCGAGAAATCATCTTAATTATCCACCTTCTGTTAAAATAAAAATCGAATATTATGAGGAAAGTAAATGGACAAGAACAAGTAGGAACTATTCAGTGTATAACAGAAACTATCAGAAAGTGTGTTTGCATAACAAAGGATAATAATGATGGGAAACATTGATTCTGATGAATACAATAAATCATAAAGACCGACCTATGGCTCCATGTTGACTCACTCTTTGGAGAATTTGAAAGAATGAGCCCAGAGAGACGAAGTTCTTCAGTGAATGCGGAAATTTGATCCGTTTTTGACAATATAAACTTCCTATCTCCAGGACACACATACAAGATGAAGTTAAACACTAGGAAACATATAAAGCCAATTAAAACAACTATTACTTATATGAGTACCTAGCATTCCATGCAGTTCCAAAATCTGAGCTTAACAGCAAAAGAGCTTGGCTATGCTTCATGACATCACTCTCGGGAGTAGAGGGGGAACAAGAGATATTCTTAATTTGGGACTCACTACATACGTTTCCATGGCATTTGTACTCATCAAGCGCAAGAAGAAACACATGTTTGGCATCTTTACATAATTGAACAAGTATATCAGTAGAGATTCCCAATTTGTGATGTTGGTTCCAGAACTTTCTTGAGATTTCACTGTTGAGTTGGACTTCATGTTGATACACATTGGAGGAACCTGCTTCTTTATCCAGCAAGGTGAACTGTGAGGGGTGGATAAACCCTACTTCATCACTGAATCCAGAGAGACAAATTATAAGTAATAAGAGGAAGCGCATGAACTGAGGAGTGAGGATAATGGTAAGAGAACAAGAAGGAACCAATTCAATCACAACAACGTCATACAAAACTCAAAAACAGGATTACACGTACTAATTTACTCAGATGGGAAGAACGTTAATACTCACATAAGAGGGTCAGATTCAAGAACATGCTCAAACTGCTTCAACAAGCCAAAGCAATCTTCTTCAGAACTTGGTCCTTGTCTCATAGTCGTTTCGCTTATAATTTCTCACTATCTTCGAGCTCTGAATCTGGATTTACCTTGATGGAATCGGAATTCGATTGATCCTCAGTGAAGGTTGGATTCCCTAAAAATTCAGGGATTTCGCCGGAGAGAATGGTTTAGGCCGGAGAGATTTGAGTTGTTCTCCGATCTCGCTGGTGATAAATCAATCACACGCAAAGAAAAAGGAAATAAAAAATTTATTACTCCTATTATTATTTACCTTTTTTACTCAAAACTTGTCGAACCGAATTCATTTCTTTTTTTTTATAAGATTTTCCTTTTTTTACCACAAAAAGAAAGTCGCAAAAACCAAGCGTTGCAGCAACTAGTATCCAACAATCCATGAGACTAACCACGTCTGGAGATGGGTAGCACTAAAGTGTGTTCTAGGGAGACGGATTTAGGCGTTTTTGATGCTACCCTCGTCCTCGTGTAGTCGTGTGTGAATATTGAATACTGGGCGAGAGTGCATTCTTCCATATATTATTGTCACACTTCTATCGAGTTGTTATGTAATAATAATAAGAAGGCTTCTCCCATTAACCATGTTTTGTTTTATTGTTCTCTGTCTCCTCGACATGCGTTTGAAGATCGAGTAGCTACTACATTCAGTACCTTCATATGGTATAGACCATTATCGAGTTCTTATGTTCTGGACTCCACTAATGGCTATTTCTTTTTTAAATTATGCTTGTACATAGCTAGACTTGGATAAAACAATGCTTTTCTGATTTCCATATTTAATAAATGCATTCTTCGTTGAGAAAATAAAACAACAACAACTGAGAATCCAAATCCTTCTGCTTTAGAAAAATAATAATAATATGGAACGGAAGAAACACAATATGATACTTAGAACCAAAGCCATCTTCTATACAAACTCCCTGCAAGTTTTCCTTCAACTTCTAGAGCTCTGGTTTCAATCGACCTATGATAAAACAAGAAAATATCAAAAACATAAATACATTTGGAAAATACAGAGAGACGAAGAGAAGTAAGTTTGAGTCGCTTTTAGTTACCATTCGGTGAGAAGCTGGACATAGTCGATGGATTTGAGACGAACCCCATCTGGTAAAGGTTTTGTAGTTCACTCTCTAGTGTTGTCTGCAAGATGAGATCATAAAGAGACATGTAAATAATGCCAAAACAATGAACATGGTGTTCATACTTCTAGCTCTGTTGCTTACCTGAGGTAATGAGTTGTATTGTGGATTTGTGGTGGTAGAAAGGTTCGGTATGGTCCCTTGAAAACCGGTAAAAGGATTCAGCCCAAGTGTAGGAGTGTTCCTGTCTCTGGACTGCAAAAGCTGAAAGGAGAAAGTGGCAGGTTTAGTACTACTTATTCATAACTTGCAGACTATTATTTCAATGTAAAGTTTTGAGGGATTTCGAGCTCTTACATCTTTGGCAAGAATCCTGTCTATATCAACGTTGATTTCTGGATTCACCGTTGCAAGTTTCATAGACAAAAACTGAAAAACAATTACAGCAGTGTGACACATAATCATCAGAACGAAAAATTCTTTCAGACCATACTGTTTCCAAATTAACTTGAGCGTTTCAAGAATCTTGCATTGTTGGGATATTCTTACCTCAACTTGTTGTTGCAATGACTGAACATAGTTGATGATTTCATCGAGCATAACTGCTTTACCGGTGATCTAGTTAAACAATTAACAATAATGGAGACTTTCAGATATTTTTTATTGGACAGCAAAGGCAGTTAAACTGCTAAAAAGCAACCTCTAAGCTTAAGCCCACTCTACCTTGTTGCATCCGGGAACAAGCTCTTGAAGCAATCTCATCCTTTCACTGATTTTTTCTCTTCTAACCTTCAAACAACAAAAGAAACAGCAACCCTCTCAGAACCAGTAATTGGCAGAAAACAAAGAGCGAATACTCATAATTGGTAAAAGAGTCCTTACCCTTTCTGCAAGACTGTGACTATTAGTGGCTTGACCTCTTCTTGCCCTCATATGAATGTAGTTTTCTTTCGGAGCTTCTTCGCTCTGTGAGCTCTCTTTGTTCACAGTCTCTTTACTCTGATCATTTTTGTGTTTCTTCTGGCTCTGATCACTTCCCCTTTGAGGGTCTTCTTGAAATTCCTCCACAGCTTTCTGCCAATTTAACAACACTCACTTGTTCAGCCCCAAACCATCTAAAGCTTCAGTATTTTCTAATTGTTCTTATCAAATCTTTGGAATCTAATGCTACCAAAACCAGTTTCTGTTAAGTTTATTATTACCTTGTTCCATTGTGATTCGGCTTCAGGTAGCCTTCTTTTCCCAATTGGGGAAGCACCAAGAACACCATCATCTGAAACCTGATGATGATCCTCATGATGAGACTCTCCAGCTCTGATCAATCTTCCAACACTTTCCCCTTTCTTGTCTGAACCAAGAAAATGACCAATTTGACCACCACCACAATCACCAAACGGAAGAAGACTCGGAGGCATCTCTGCAGCATAACCCGAACCCGAACCGGGTTGGTAATGAGAGAAGCAACTCATCCCTGGATTATCCATCGCCATTGAAGGGTAATGAGAGCTAGAGAAGCCGCCAGCACCATTGACAACTGGATCCCAATCTGCAGAAGAGAAGAAAGGATCTGCCTTTGCATACAAGGGCATTGGCGTAATTCCAACTCTTGAGATCCCACTCTCATCATCTCCATGCTTAAAACCCATCTCTCCTTCATTACTCTCACCACCCATTCTTCTGATTCAACAACAACCAAACAAGAACCCTCTAAAGAAAAGTAATTTCCAATTTCAAAACCTGGTTTTGCTACTTTGGCAAGGAAACAACTGAAGCAAACCAGTTTGCAGATTTTTATACAGTGGGGAAAAATATAGAGGAAGATATGAAATTTTTATTTTTAAAAAAAAAGATAAAAACCAAATCAACAGAGCATCAAATCTAAATGTAGCAGAAGCAAGTCACAGGTTCTTTTAGGAAAGAGAAGGAGAAGGTATGGAGAGAGAACCCTAGGATAAATGCTTATTCGTACTCTCAAGTCAAGGGAAGAAAAATAATTAAAGAGAACAAAATAGACTTATCATAGACAAAGAAAGCTGAGAACTTTCAGAGCATAAAGTGGTAACAAGCAACGGATTTAGCTAAGTTACAGCTCACAAGAGCTTAACCAGGGAGAGAGAAAAAGAAAAGAGAAAAAAAAAAGTAGATTCGCTTTTAAGAGTGTGAGAGAGAGCAAAGTCACTATCTCATAACCAATCTCTTGAAAGAGGGAGAGGAGCAAAAAAAAGAAAAGATTTGGCCTTTCAAAGATGAATGTAGTTGTAAGCTTATGAGAGAAAGTATGTGGAATTTTAAATATGAAGGAAATTGAGACAGAGGAGCAAGAATGTTATGGAGACAAACCCTGTTTGAGATACTCCAAGATTGTGGTTGCTTTCGAAAGAGTACAAAAGAAGAATCAAATTCTTCGGTGGGGAATTTACATCATCACTGTAAACCTAAACCAGATATATAAGGGAAGAGATGGTACACTCGATTGAAAGGGTATCAAATGCTGTTTTTGCTTGAATTGGGGTAATGTAAGAGAATTTTATTAAAAAAAAGAAAAAAAAAACACTGAGAGATTCACAAGTTTGGGTACTTGAACAAGCAACAATGCAAGCATCAAGTTCTGAACTTTTTATAGAATCAAAAGGAACAGTAATAATAATTGTGTTTAATTAATGGGGCAATAAAAGACCTAGAGAAAGAGAACAAATAAAGCTGATAGATTACCCCTAATTTGAGATACACAGAGAGAGACTAAACAGAGGAGACATAATAATATGATTATTAAAAAAATAATAATAACAAAGACAGAACAACTACTGCCAAGCCAACTGCTTTATTTTGCTCTTTTCTTTTTTTTTTTCATTATTACACAACCTAATCTACCCTCACTCTCTAATAACATGCCTAACTTTTTTTCTTTTGATAAATACATGTCTTAACTTTTACACCTTTTTAAGTTTTTTTTTTTTTAATTTACACTAGTTTTACCACCCTTTTTCACTTTTTTCCTTCCAACACAAGAAAGACCAAACCTCTAAACATAATTATGAATCCAATTGTAATATTTACCAGTTCTATATCTATCTATTGCTGAAATGCAGCTAATTAAGGTTAGGTAGATTTGACATTTTAAATGGTAAAAAATTGCAGATCTTTACCATGCTTTCAATCAATTTCTCAAACAATATATTATATTAAAAGGGAGTGTCATTCGTTATATAATTTTTTGGTTAATATCTCAAAGTCTCAATGTACAAGCAAGAGGTTCTTCTCTTCATGCCCAAGCTTTGCTTTCTAGCTTCTACTCTCTGACATGTGCTTTAGAATATTATATCATATACAAGTACCATATACATGCATGTATATATATGTGAACAAATATAATAGTATAATTATGTGTGTGTGTATATGTAGATAATATTATTATTATTTTTTACTGACACAAATTGCCAACTAAATATTCTAACAGAAGACTCTTTGCTGTGACACACTCATATTTTTGTTCTGAGTGCCAACTAACCCCTCTTTTGGAATCATTTTTTTACGTTCAGCTTTTGTAACAGCCGTGTGATTAAACCACTACGTTTAGATCTCATCTCCTCGCCGTTGGATCCAAGCAACATCTTTCTTTTTTATTCTTTTTCTACTACTATTTTTTCGTTTCTATTACAATTTTAACTTTAGATTGTTTAGTTTCATTTTGAATAAAATTGTTTGGATTTAAAACTCACTCTAATAGTGAGTGTTGTGATCACATCATTTTTTATACTTTCTTAATTTCTCAGAATGAAAAGTATAATCTCACATTTACTAAAAGAATATGACATAAGGGAATTATTGTTTTTTTTTTTTTTGTAAATTCAACAAATATTGCAAGTTGAGGACAAAAAATCATTTCAGCAAACAAAAAAAAATCCTGCTTTATTGAAAATGCCGTTATAGTTTTACAGTGCGTAAAGTTTTATGAAGGATCCTAAAATCTAGGTGATACTATTTGTTCGTGATGTCATTTTCCGAATACATGCAAAGTTAAACTGGCGAGAGACTTTGACGACTTAATTCTTCTTTTATTTCCTTTTTTCATTTTTCCGAAAACGATACTCAATTACTCATACTCATTACTATAAAAATATAAGAAATCACAGCAAAAAAAAGAAAAAAAAAATCAGCTAGCAATATTGATAGTTGCCTGAAAACCTCTCTTTAATTAAGAGATTTTAATGGAGAAAATTTACAGAATGCTAATTAATGTACCGAATAACTTTTTTTTTTTGGTCAACTAAAGAAAATCCTAGATTAGTACAGAAAAAATATATTTATAGGAGGAAACATAAGGAATATAAGGGAATCTTATACTATCGATTTATTTTTTAAAAAAATAAAATAAAATGATTATAAGTATAGAACTTATAGTCAAGTTACAGCTGTGAGTAAGACTTGGAGAAACAAAGAGTTTCGTAGTACTACGTAGTGCTTAAGCATGAGATAACTACCCCCACCCTAAGCTAACAACCAATAAATCAAATGGTCAAACCTTTTAATTATTTGGTCAAAACTCCCCACAATCTTGGTTAGTTGTAAACTAGCTGTAAGTCTGTAACACCCCAGTTGATCCCCTAGCTCTCTTCTCTCGTGTACTTGCCACGGCTGTTGTCTCTATACATGTGTTTTATTTATGCTACTCTATTTTTTTTTTATTTTTTTTTGGGCAATATTTATGCTACTCTATATCTACTTTTTTACATTAGTACATGTGTTGTTCTTTTCCTTCTCTCAAAATTAAATCAGTCAATAGATTTAAGTATTGAGTCAAATTATATGTTCTCAAGAAATCCTATATTTGGAGGTCATTTCTGATTTTTAAAATTTATATAAAATAAAAACGTATATATATATATATATATATATATATATATATATATATATATGGTTTTAAGAAGGATGTAGTAATTATCTATAAATGTAGTTAGGTTCGGTCCGGGAAAGTATAACTTGTTTATTCAACTTGGAAATGCTTCTCATCATTGCAAAACAAAGCAGAGGGATTTAAGATCCAACCAAATTATGATAATTGAAACTTGCACACAACTCTTTCGACGACATTACTCCAATAATTATATATATATATATACTCCCATATATGGGACCATATTATATAACTCTTGCACTTAACTTTGCATACAGTATATATGTATGTACAAATTCATTTCCCTAAACTTATAAGTCAAGTATATATATATGTAGTAATTTTTGTAACCAATACATTCCATGCATGAAGTTTTAATTTTGAATACAGGAAATTTAGTCACTTCAGTAAATAACCACTGCGGTGTACTATTTTTAGAGATGCACGCACAGTTGTATAAGTTTACCAACTAATCAATGTATGTATAAACAACAGAATAGTAGTACAACCTAATAGCTCACCGTATCATGTGCTGTAAAAGAGGCAACAATATGACACACGTAGAAAGTGAGTAAAGGAATGATTAAGAAACCTTAATGGAGTAGGTTAAATTAAAGTTACACAAGTTCCTTATTAAAACTCGATTTTAATTAGGGCTTTGATTATAGAGTGAAACACCAATTAAAGCGAGAAGATCCTACGACCACGCCCGCGGACTACTTCTGTGGACCCTCTTTTTATTTAACTTAAACTAGAGAGTAGAGAGTGTGACGCACAAGAAGAAGTAGATAGAAGTGGTCCATACCTCTTTTTATTTGCAATGATGCTCAAGATTCCTAGTATCTTAATTATTGTTATCGCAAATCATATCTTTTATATCTCTATCCTCAAAACCATAACAAATCCGCTGTACCTCATATAATAAAGTAGTGTATAGTATAGTATAAGACTATATATCTGCTAAAAAGAAACCAAATTAATAGCGTTAGTCCAAAGTGTAGATCGACTATTGAAGAAGCATATGTGTATGCATGAGGAAGTTGAATGTTTGTGGTTGATAGACCTTCACTTCCATATTTTGTTTTGATGATGACGATGATGTACGAAATCTATATTTACGCAAAGAAAAGACCAAGCTGCACCTTATTTCTTTCTAGTTTTGATAAAGTAAGCATAAAGTCCATCAAAAGCTAATTGAGACGACACATCTATGAATTGGTATGATCACCTTCTTGTCGTCGTCGTCATTCATAAATCCATCAAAGATTATGACGTGAGGCTCTCTCTTGTTCAATTGGACTTTCGAGAAGGACTAGTGCCATTTGGTTGGCTTCGTCTTGGTAACTAATTGATGGTTCAATTTGTTTGATGTATCTTTTGGTCAATTTTATTAGTAGTTAGAGGATAAAGTCATCAAAGCTTTTCAAGTCTTGTGTGGTTGAGTTAACAATGAGAGGTTTGAAAGGAGTCTTTAGTGAAGCCCATAATTGCTGTTGTGGATGATATATTAGATCATATGTTTGCTAGGAAATTGATTCGGCACATTTCACATATGCGGTGGCGCGCTGGTGGTGTTTCCATTACGTCAACTATTTGATTTGTATGTTTCCAAGTAACATATAGTGTGCAATAAACGACTTTGTTGACGTTTAGCATATTAGCGATAACAAAACAAAATTAAGGATCATAAGCACTCACACGCCGTTGATTTCAGATTCGATAATATTCCATTTTTGGTGATCGACATAATAAAAAAGTGGTGACCAGGAGCTCTAGTATTAGTTGGATTCACCATAGAGAATATATACACACTGGTATGATAATATAAAGTGGATATATATGTAAATGTATTAGGTAACATATCCCGTATTAGAGAAATAACGCGAAATCTCTAAGCGGTACTCAGACAAATTGCTGATTAATTCCATACTAGGCTTTCGAAATAACCATATTGTTGTGTTGCTTTTTTTCTTCAGATTTTTGAATCTCAAAGCATATTCAGGAATCAGGATAGTGTAAATGGGCCTCACGTGAGTGAGGGGGAAGCCTTACCCGCTAATTCATGTAAAGTGTATCTCAGCACTTGACTTTCACACTCAGCGATCGGACGGGGAAGCTCATGGAAGACGCTGCTGGCGTTACAAGTTGTCATCTCCTCTAGTCTTTTACATTTCAGCTCACTTTCGTCGCCCACCCGAATCACCGTTTTGGGAATTTCTCCTCCCAAAATTCCAGAAACCCTAGGTTTCTCCTAACATGGAAGACGCCTATGCCAGATCTGTCTCAGAGGTGCTTTGCATTTCACTTCTCATTCTTCTCTTCTCACTGTTTTTATTTTTTTTCTCGGATTTGAAATGCGTAAGATTTGACTGATATGGTTGCGATCGCATATATTGACAACCCAACCATTGATGATGTTCTTGGCAACTGTTTGACTGTGATGGAAGTGATTTTTGTGTTTGTCTTTGAGGCCTCTGTTAGGTGTTGATTGGTATTATGTTGTTTGGGCAGGTGCTTGATTTCTTTGGGGTAGACCCGACAAAGGGTCTTTCTGATTCTCAGGTATGATCCTGTCCAACCTGACTGAGATCTCCATTGTTGGAGAACTTGAAATTTTTTTGAATTTTGAGCTTGTTACTCTGAAGCTACCATGATCTTGAATTTTATCATTCG